TACATATGTCAATGGTTTGACATGGATGGCACATAGAATATGGTTTGACATAGATGGTATATAGCATATGGTTTGATATAATTGGTATATAGAATATGCTCTGATATATAAGGTATATATAATGGTTTGACATGGATGGCACATAGAATATGATTTGAGATAGATAGTATACAGAATATGGTTTGACATAGATGGCATATTACATAAGATGTCACAGGTGGCACATAGAATATGGTTTGACATATATAGTATATGACTTGACATAGATGGTAAGTAAAATGTGTTTTGACATGTATAACATATGTCAAATGGTTTGACATGGATGGCACATAGAATATGGTTTGACATAGATGGTATATAGCATATGGTTTGATATAATTGGTATATAGAATATGCTCTGATATATAAGGTATATATAATATGCTTTGATATATAGGATATGGTATGACATAGTTTGTATATGGAATATAGTTTGACATAGATGGCACATATGGATGGTATATAGAATATGGTTTGACATAAATCGTATATAGAATATGGTTTGACATAAATCGTATATAGCATATGGTTTGACATAGATGGTATATAGCATATGGTTTGACATAGATGGTATATGTCATATGGTTTGACACAGATGGCATATAGAACGTGGTTTGACATAAATCGTATATAGAATATGGTTTGACATAAATCGTATATAGCATATGGTTTGACATAGATGGTATATAGCATATGGTTTGACATAGATGGTATATGTCATATGGTTTGACACAGATGGCATATAGAACGTGGTTTGACATATATAGTATATAGAATATGACTTGACATAGATGGTATATAGCATATGGTTTGACATATATAGTATATAGAATATGACTTGACATAGATGGTATATAGCATATGGTTTGACATAGATGGTATATGTCATATGGTTTGACACAGATGGCATATAGAACGTGGTTTGACATATATAGAATATAGAATATGACTTGACATAGATGGTATATATAATATGGTTTGACAAAGATAGTTTGACATTGATGGTATATATAATATGTTTTGACATAGATGATATATATAATATGGTTTGACATAGATGATATATATGGTTTGACATATATGGTATATATAATATGGTTTGACATAGATGGTATATATAGATGATATGGTTTGACATGGTGGTTTGACATGTATAATATAAGTCATATGGTTTGACATGGATGGCACATAGAATATGGTTTGACATGGATGGTATATAGCATATGGTTTGATATAATTGGTATATAGAATATGCTTTGATATATAGCATATAGTTTGACATAAATGGCACATAGAATATGGTTTGACATGGATGGCACATAGCATATGGTTTGATATAATTGGTATAGAGAATATTCTTTGATATATAAGGTACATAGAATATGCTTTGATATATAGCATATGGTTTGACATAGTTAGTATATGAAATATGGTTTGACATAGATGACACATAGAATATGGTTTGACATGGATGGCACATAGAATATGATTTGAGATAGATAGTATACAGAATATGGTTTGACATAGATGGTATATAGAATATGCTTTGACATATATAGTAAATAGAATATGGTTTGACACAAATGGTATATAGAATATGGTTTGACATAGATGGTATATAGCATATGGTTTGACATAGAAAGTATATAGAATATGGTTTGACATAGATGGTATATAGAATATGGTTTGACATAGATGGTATATAGCATATGGTTTGATATAATTGGTATATAGAATATGCTTTGATATATAAGGTATATAGAATATGCTTTGATATATAGCCTATGGTTTGACATAGTTGGTATATGGAATATGGTTTGTTATAGATGGCATATAGAATATGTTTTGACATGGATGACACATAGACTATGGTTTGACATAGATGGTATATACATATGATTTGACATATATAGTATATAGAATATGACTTGACATAGATGGTATATAGAATATGGTTTGACATGTATGGTTTATTATATGTGGTTTGACATAGATGGTATATAACATGCGGTTTGGATGAGGTTTGAAATAAATCGTATTTAAAATATGGTTTGACATAGATAGCATATAGAATGAGGTTTGACATATGGTATATAGCATGTGGTTTGACATAAATGGTATATAGAATATGGTTTGACATAGATGGTATATAGAATATGGTTTGATATAGATGGTTTATATAATATGGTTTGATATAGATGGTATATAACATGTGGTTTGACATAGATGGCATATGTCATATGGTTTGACACAGGTGGCCCATAGGATATGGTTTGACATATATAGTATATAGAATATGACTTGACATAGATGGCATATGGAATGTGGTTTGAAATGTATAGTATATAGGATATGGTCTGACATAGATGATATATAGAATATGTTTTGACATATAGCATATGGTTGGACATAGATGGTATATAAAATGTGGTTTGACATAGATGGCATATAGAATGTGGTTTGACATGGATGGTATATTGTAGCATATGGTTTGACATAGATGGTGTATAGAACTTGGTTTAACATAGTTGGATATATATATATTATGGTTTGAAAAAGATGGTATATGGCATGTGGTTTGACATAGATAGGGTATAGTTTGTTGCTTGACATTATAACATGCTGTTTGGCATGCATGGTTTGTAGAATATGGTTTGACATATATGGTATATAGCATGTTGTTTGAAAAAGATGGTATATAGAATGTGGTTTAACATATTTGGATATTTAGATTATGGTTTGACATAGATGGTATATAGCATATGGTTTGACATAGATGGTATATAGCATATGGTTTGACATAGATGGCATATAGCATATGGTTTGACATAGATGGTGTATAGAACATGGTTTAACAGAGATTGTATATAAAGCATGTTGTTTAACATAGATGGTATATAGAATATGGTTTAACATAGATGGATATAAAAAATGCAAAAAGCTAACATGTCGGAGATGAAATTAAGATTGGACGGGATCCAAAGTCTAATGGGATGACCAATGATTGAAGTTGCAGGCATCTGCAATCTTCAGCGTTTAGGCACTTCACAAAATTTAGAGCCTTATTTGAGCTCCTTTCTTAAAAGTTTAACTTTCTGATGTACATGTATATCTTTTTGAGAATCCACACAGCAACTGTTGTTATTTAGATTGCTCACTCTACCAATTAAAAAAGGCAATACAAACAACAAAATAAGCAATAAACTGTTTATTGTTTGAAGAAAAATGATTTAACTGACAGAAAATGTAACATTGAAGGTTTATATATTACTGACAAGATGTAATAGGTTTCATATTATGGTTATCATGATTTAGAAAGAGAAATATTTCAATTGTAGAACTATTATTATTGAAAAGTGTTAAAGATATACATACTGGTAGCACTTTGACAGTATAAAAGCATGGTGTATAAAATTGCACTAAAAATACATTCACAACCTAATCTGATACTATCTGAAATCTTTCCTAACTTTTAACATTTTTTTGTTTAAACCTCAACCATAACTTTCTATTTCGTCCCTTTCCTCATCTTAACCCAATCCTCACAAAAATAAATCAAAGCTGTGCACCGAAGCTTTCAATTAATTTGAAGAGTAAAATAAACAGATCTATAGCAGAATGATTAAATAATGATTAAAATAGAGAACTAACGAACAACACTAATTAACGAATAATTGACGAGTAAAGTCTGCGTAGTCGTAGGAATCGGCAATGGTTCTACCAGATTTATCAACATAGGGTTTCATTCGGGCTATACAGTAATCTGCTTGTTCTCTTGTTAGGTTCTGAAATAAATTATGATTAGAATATTATCAAAAGACATACATTAATTGTCTGCTATCATATAACATAATTACCTATTTTATTAAGATTTAGTCTAGTCAATTAGTCAATTATCAATTAGGCGTGGCATGTAAGTTTTCATTTTCATTCATTTCATTTCATCATCAAATTCATATTATAATAACGTTTGTTACATTTTAAGGTTGCATTACTTGAAAACAAATCTATATAGATAGAAGATGTGTGGGCAGGCATATAAAAATGAAATGGTCCAAATCTAATCTACTTACAGCATAAAGTTCTTGCGCTGTAATATATGGTTTTTCTCCAGATGTGAGAGCTCTGAAAGCCTGTTCCACTTCTGAACTGGACTGGACATTCTCCGTCTCGCGACTGATCATAAAAGCCATGTATTCCTGGAGCGACACATAGCCATCCCTGAAAAGAAAGTCATATTGGAGTTCTGTACATGATTGGACATTTATGCTTGGTTAAAACTCTCAATTATATGCAATAAGAACATAATGATATGATTAAGAATACATGATAATTCATTAGAAAGACCAATTAATCTAATAGTTTGCTTTATTTGACACAACAAAATAAGGAAACCCATCTTTAAGACCATTTCGCTTGGTTTTTTAGAGTTGATGTGAACACTTTTGTATGCGGTAAATGAAACATTTTTTTGCAAAAAGTGCTTTGATTAGAAATAATTTGGTACTGAATATGTCAGTTAGAATATTGTTAAATTTCTTTAAAATTCAATAGAATGCATGTAATTTCTAACCACTCAGATCACTCAGCTAGTTTCCTCCACTTAATATTCTCAAGACAAATTTTAAACATAGAATTAAGTTTATTATCTTATGATAATATTTGGTTTATAACAAGTGAATATTGCATGAGTTCACCCAGGCAGAGTATTCAGCATTCACTTTCTGTCAGTGATAAACTAATAGAATCTTACCTGTTAGGATCAACTAAATCTAATATAGCCTGGAACTCAGGATCTACTTGTCCCTCTTCAACCATCGGTAAATCATAACCCAGAGCTCGTAAACATGATTTAAACTCTTGATGATCTAATTTACCACTCTTATCTTTATCAAAATGTCTGAAATTAGATCATTCATATATTAAATATTGATACAGAAGACTACATTGTTTAAATGTGTTGATTGATAAGATGTATATGAACATAAAAAGAGTCAAACTGGCATTGATCTTATCTTAACCATTTATATCTAGGATAATAAAAAAAATTACTAATTCAAGGCCACAGACATATATGTGCCAACCAGGATTAGAATCCCTGACCACCATTTGTTTGCCTCTTACTAACTGTGCTATTTAGTCTAAGTAGTCTTAGTACATACTTGAACATCATACTGAATTCTCTTAGAGCATCCTCTGATACACCACTACGATTTCTAGCAGCTATCTGTTGTTCTAGGTTATGTTGCATTCTCATACACAGCTGGTCCAGTTGATCCCATTGTTGAGCTAATCCTACTGTACTGTGTTCAGTATATCTGTTATCTAAGATCAATCGTTCCTCCATGGAAGCTCCTAAATCTTCTATCTTCTTTAGATGACCTTTCTGTGCCCTGACTTCTGTTGCTTTCAGCTGTAAGAAAGTAATACAATATAAATCAACATTCATTCTATTCTTTAGATATATCCAAAACGACCATGTCTAAATGTCTAGATAGTAACAGGAAATACATGTACTGGATTCAGTTGTAAACATGAAATTCTTGAAATGGTTTGGACAAGAAAATTTTATATTTGACAAGGATAACATCTGAGGTTCTTGATAGTGGAATTTTTATTGTCTGGGTCCACTGTGAGGAACATGATAAATACCTTAGTTGCTTCTAATTGTTCTTCTAAAGTACCAGATCCTTCCATCATAGCAGATCTGAAATACATTGTATAGTAATATTATAATAACATTAACAATATACTATAATATAGGTATAGGTCAGGGCAATTGGGATCATAGTTAAAGATATTCGTTTAGAATTATCAGGATAATATTCTCAATATTTAGACAATAGGAAGGTTTGTTTTGATGAAATTATGAATGGAAGTAAAATTCATGCATGTTTTTAGTAATAGATGTATTAAGATGGACTAGGATTCACTTCAAAAACCAACACAAAACACAACACAATTTCTTTAACACCAACTCTGAAAGCTTTCAAGACATCAGTAGGCATTTTAAATCTAAACAAATTATACTGCAAGTATTTTAGTAAAACAAGGGGCATAATTCATGTAGTAATTGGCAAATAAGAAATTAGTATGCTCCTTGTCTAGCAACTAGCAGCAGTGGCAAATACAAATCTTTGTGAAGAATTCTGAAATTGAATGCTAGTAGAAACATACTTGCTTATCAATCATATCAAACTCTTTACAACTAAAGATTTAAACCTTATCAAAATAAACAATTTTTTGATAAAAAGATCCAAGTCTTCAGTAATGAGAAGAGTTTGTATAAATATCACTCACATATATAACTATTTTAACAATAACCTAGTGTATAGTAATATATTTTATAGAAGGTGTTTCCCAGCCTCCCCTTCCACAGCATAAACTAAAGCACAGGTATTTTAGTTCTATATTTTGTGTGGCCTTTGTAAGTTCCAAAGCCTGTATTCTTAAGGGTATGATTTCATTATGTTATGGAAGATGGGGCTCTAATTGGAAACACCCTATATATCAATCAGTGGAATGGTTGTACTAACTAATGAACCAAACCATGCTAAATAATAGAGAGTGTAATAACCCTGTTATTAACCACATCCTATAGAATAAAATATTCCATTAAATAATACATTTAAATATATGTAAATAATGTCAAACTTGTTTTAAAGAAGCAGTCAGAAGAACGCTTAACATTGGTCGCTTACTGAAGGTGGCTAGTTAATTGAGGGCTAAGCTGTTTGGTGATAGTTTAAGGTTGAAGGATATATCATGTAAAATTCTTTATTTTCTAAAAAATACTTGGGCATTTTGGGTGGCTACACGTTAACAGCCAGGACTAATCATCAATATATTTCTAAAACCCTTTTAAACCAAATCCAAAAAGTGTCTTGCTCAGAGAAATAAGTTTCCAAATCAACATGCCTTTCAGAGAATCCACATATGGCCAATATTGCTTGGTATATTAATTGCCTGAATCATTTTCTTTTATCACTAAACAACTAAAGAATGCATATAGCATCTAGACTTACCTTGTTTCTGTTAACCATCCATGGAAAGCATTAGCAGATTTAGCAAACTGCTGTCTCAGCTGATCATTTTCTTGTTGTCTTTGTTCTTCACGAGCCAAATCACCATCTCTTTCCTAGAAATAAATTCATTTTGTAATATTGTAGTCTTAAGACTCAAACCTGTATGAAGAGTTATCTCTCTTTCGAGAAGTGAACATCGAAAGTTGGTGATAAGAATTTCATTGGTTGGGTGGAAAACTCAGATCCCAATCAGAACAATTTATCAGCTGTGATGATATTACATTAATATTATTATGCTGTAAATGTATCTAATTCAATGGTTGATTGGGAAATTAGGGTTAAAATTTCGATAGAACCTAATGAAGGAGAGAAAGAAGTCAATAAATATAAGGTATAAAATCTGACTCAGGACTAATCTAAAGGATAGAGTTTTAGCCTGTAAGTTATATTTAACATCACAGAATTTATGCTGGTTAAAGGCTGTAATAAAAATCTACATCAAAACTATTATAATGCTACCTTAATGATCTTCTGTAGATTTTTCCAGGTATCCTCCAATGCTTCCATAGTAAACCAGGTATAAGGATTGGGTCCAACACGGAATTCTTTAATCTGTTTATCAAGAGCAGCAAGTTGGTTGAAATCAGCTTGAGCAGCACTCAATGAGGCTTTAAATTGGTCATGAGCTTCACGTAATGCCTGAAGTAGATAAAATACTGAATTAAAAATCAAAATGCTTCAGATATGAAATATAAAACTTCTGCCTTTTCTTTGATAAAATGAAATAAAATCAGTTTTCTGCACCTGATTGGGCAATGCTTTATGCAGTGTACAAATAGGGGATTTAGCTGCTCTTTTTATTTCAACCTATTGAGGTACCAATACAATCCTTGGTTTATCAAGAATTTGTAATTTGTACAATGTAACTTGTCTCAGGCATCAGGTCTTATAAAGAATTATCTTAACAGTTTACCTTAATTTCTTCAATAGAATTACATCGAACAGGATCAGTCAAATCTTCTTCAGCATTCTCAAACCAACTATTAAAAGCAGAGGCTTTCTTAGCGAAGGTAAGATACAGATCTTCTATTTGACGGTACTGATCTTGTAGTAACAGTAATTTCTGTTTTCTTGCCTCAGAATCCTGTAACAGTTTCTGCCACCTAAAATACGTAATGACAAAATATTAGCAAATCTAAAAAAAAAAATTAAATCTATGTTTGAATTTTAGAAATGAAATGGAATTTGTGTTGTTATAATTTTTGTAGCTAGAGATAATATCTACCAGTCATATCTACTGTGATGTCACACTGTGGCTTTAGTTGCTTCCCTTATAGTCAAGTCAAGTTGCTTGTCCTTGTTGTCGTGTGACAGATTATGGATCAGGGTGCTTAGAAGGACATTAAATGAATAAAGCATGGTTGAACTTACTCTAACATTTTATCTTACTTTTACCCCCCCTATAGAACACTAGTTCAAAACTGTAATAGCATACAGAGTATCATCAAGGGTTATTACCAAAATTTACAATGTCAAGCCCATAAAATGAAATTTTATACTTTAATGAACTCATACTAAACATTCACCACAATGAAGTAAATACTAACCTAGCCATAACATCATTGAAACGTTTTTCAATAGTAGGTGTTTGAGTATGTTTAGCTTGTACCAGTTGATCTTTAAGAGCTGTGATAGTCTGAATACCTTCTTTCTCGAACGCTGATAATCCAGCATCAAATGTCTCCTACAATAACAGAAAAATAATCATTTTACTCATTTTAATCATTTACTTTCTTTGAAGATTTGAGATGAATAATTTTAATTTAGCTTAATAAAAAAAATCTACGTGTTAAAATTAAAAAAAAAAAATGAGATTACGTACTTGCTTGGTGAGAAGAGTTTGTACTGAAGATAAATCTCGACCGAAATCGTCTGATCTTACTTGGGTCTCTTTATCAGCTGTAATAGATAATACAGAGGTTGTTATACTTTCAATACATACTAGTCTTTTAGTAGGAGTAGCTTTAACAATAAATAGCTTTAATATTTAAAGTTTAACAAAAAATACTAGTCAATACAGTCTTTTAAATTGAAGTTTTTTCTACAATTAATACCTATAGTGTTAAATGAAATTCCAATTCCAATCAAATCATTGGATTGGCTTTCTTTATTCACTAAGAAGTTAAGATAATACAATACGATGGAAGTAAAACTCACCAATCCAACTCTCTACTACATCAGTCTTCCAAATAAATTGTAAGAATGCTGAATTATCCACCAAATTAGCTTTACGTTTGCTGGCCACTTGATCTAGATTATTCAGATGTTCTTCTAAACCTCCAATCTTCTGTTTAATATTCTCAGCATTGTGGTTACCCTAAAATTACAACACGTTATCACTGATTCAAAACTCAGACCAATATATATCTTACATTAAAACTACAATTTCTGACCAAATATAGATATAAAACAGCAAGACATAATAATGCTTCCTTCTGATCTCATATTCTAGTTTTACTCTCTTCCAGTATTAATTTCATGCAGAGGAGACATTTCAATATGGTATAAACTTAAGATGTAATGTCCAACGTTCAAATTAGATTACATACCTCAACAATGAGTTTCTCTCCTTCTTTGTTGATTTCTACACAACGATCTCTGTGGACCTGGAAATCAGTTTCAAAAGCTTCATGTTTCTTTATCAAACCTTGAACGGCAGCCATTGTGTCACCAAAATCATCTCCAGATAGCAAATGTTGCTTCTCTGATATCCAGGCTTCTTCTTCTTCAACATTAGCACTAAACTGTTGGTAGGCATAGGACTGTTCTAATTTATGTCCCCTGTAGAAAGAATAGTAGTAATTTACATAACGGAACACATTTTATGGTAACCTATTCTGCTTCTTAGTTTAATTTACACAACATTTCAACAAATCATATTGTCATCATCAGGTGTCATATATTCCAGTTGAGAGGAGAGCAGACGGCACAGAGAATAAAGGTTGAAATTAAAATTAAACAATTACATTCCTTTCTTTGAACTTTCATGAAATAACAAACATAACACTGAGTGAAAATTTCCTCCTTATTTTGATGGTGATTTTGACCTCTGATGTCACATCAATGATCTTTGTCTTCTTCTCTCTAACCTTTTCTAAATCATATACTGAGGTACCTACCTATCTTGTGCTGAACTCTTTAATTCTTTCCAGTTTTTATCAAGTTGATCTAATCTAGCTCTGATATCACTGGCTCCAATATCTGAATCAGCTATTAACTGTTCTCCTGTCTCTTGTACTCCCTAAATACAATATACCATATAAAATAATTACAGCTGACGTTCAGATATTCAGATATGTAACATTTTCTTCACATTAATTAAGAGCATCAAAGCCCTTTTTTTTCCACCAAGCTATTAATATTAATATTTTTCACTATCAATAACAAATTAGCCTCATGCCAAACAATTCATCTTAATTGACAATTGATTAATTGAAAGTTCTGAAGTTTTAATTATGAATGTTATAACTAACCTGTATGGTAGGTTCATGAGTGACTAACTCAGCCTCTAGACGTTTATGTTTCTTTCTAAGATTCTGTACACCAGTTAAATCTCGACCATAATCTTCAGATCCAACCAATAATTTCTTCTCTCTGTAAATATAAATATTCATATAACTTAATTCATGCTTATGTAGATGGAAAGGTATTCTCAAGGTATTGCCGTGAGGACGGCTTTGACATGCTTAGTTCTGTCCAATTTTATGTTTTATGTCCTACTTTTTATCTACTAGTAAGTGTGTTCAACGAGGGAAAAGATTTCCAGGAAAACAGCATTAGCTACTCTTTGATTTCCAGCTACCAATGGATCTTTGACTTGCAAAATCAGTAGAAAATGGCCTTTTTCATGTCAGTCCTAGAAGAAAGTTTATACACAGGATAACCATATATACAGTACTTACTTAATCCAAGCTTCCTCATCATCAATATCTCGTAAGAACTGATGCATAGTGTTAGCTTCATTTAGAACTCCACGTCTTCTTACAGCAAATTCTCTAATACGATCATATCTTTCATTGATAGTCTGTTTTCTATCTGTTATATTCTCAGCATCCCATATACCAGCTTCTACAAACTGATCAGCCTGGGTATTCAAGTCTTTTATTCTATCCTATAATATTAAACACAAATCATAGCTTACATGTACAATGCACTACAGTAAAAAAACTTCTATATCCCCATTATCATCTTTGCAAGGTAAATAAGCAATGTTTTTGGTTCAATAAGTTTCTCCACAGTTCATCAGACACAGATATACCAAAGTCAAGGACAAGGTGCTACCTAAGATATTATTCACAATTTTTGCAGCTTAAGAGAGAGCCCAATGGCAAAAGAAATCTGAAACAAGACAACTAACCTCATGAGCAGTAATATCAGCTTCTAATAATTGATGTTTCTTCAATAAATTCTGAACTGAAGCTAAATCTTTACCATGATCTTCTGAGGCTAACATTTGTTCTACCTGAAAACCAAGCCAGATATATCAATAAAACTTTAATTCAATACCAATCAATTTCTTTCACTCTTCACACCATCAATGTTGTTGTCAATTTTTCTGTGTAAACGTCAGTTTTAAGTCATTTTAGAAAATTGTTCGATAGTCGATACTTATTTACACCAATAAGGCTCATATAATTGCACAATATGAATAAAATGTAGTCAACATCTAAACGAATGAACCGTCTTTACAAATGTGAATATATTTGCGGAATTCAAAATGAAATAAGATTTCAACTTTCAAGGAAGAAATATCTTACCTCTCCTAGCCAGAATTCAATATCTTTAACACCAGCATTATAAGTCTGTTGTTTATTAGCTTCTTTCAGTTTTTCACCTTTCTCTGTTGTCTTGGAAACGAGATCTTCCCACTGTGTAGCTAGACTTTCCAATCTGTTCTGTACAGCGTCTTCTGAACCTGCACACTGTTTATGATCAATTAAATCTAGAAAAGAAATACAAACATAATAAATAAACAGATTAAACAAACTGAACATGTCTTACCTAAATTATTTAATAAATTCATTGAGACAGTATTTTGAATTCAAATATAAAAACTTTCGCACTCCTTTTTATTGTTCAGCTAAGTTGAATTTGATTGGTGAGTTCTGAACAAGTTCAGTTTGTTTCAATTCTTGGCATCAATTGAACGATAGAGAACCAAATACAGTGTATATCTTGTTTCATATTTTGAATTCTGTCATTCATGTGGTAACCATTCTAAACCCAAGATGTTTTATCTAACTTTAGGTTGATTTTATGGAGTGCAAACAAGTAGAATTCTACAAATGAGTGCCACACTTAGTTAAATGGTAAATATATAACAATAATAAGATAACTAACTCTGTCCAGTTCCCAGTAAGGATTGTAATCTTTCACTATTAGCAGCTAATTCAGCTTCAAAAGCTTGATGTTTCTGATGTTTACTCTAAAAGATACAATAAATAATTGTTCCTAATATATTCAAACTCTTTAAAAGAATTGGAGCTGGTCATTCTGATTTCAGAAAATGTAATCTTATCTCTGAAAATATGTAATCAACAGCACAATCCAAGATAAAAGCAGATTCTGGGTGCATTCAACTTACATGATCGCAAAAAAAAAATCCTTGGACGTTGTTTCAAAAGTCAAGCATTCACCTCCATTAAGGTACTACCTGTGTAGAATATGTACCAACCTGAATATTGGTAGGATCTTTATAAGATTCATCACTAGCTATCTGTACTTTCTCTTGTAACCAGTTCTCCATCTCATCAGCATCACGAGAGAATTGTTGTAGAGTCTGAGCTTCACCAAGTTTAGATCGGTTATCAATCAGATCATCCTTCAGTTTAGACCATCTACAATATATAATTCAATAAATATACTGAAATACTCTTTGAGTATTAACCCCACCCATCAAGTTGTACAAGTTGAAAACAAATTAGAATTACAATCTGATTACCATCTACTTTTAATGTTCAATTACCTTGCACAAAAGTTTAATATTAGGTTCTGAACTGTATGTATTAATTCAATTGTGGACCGTAGTGACATTCAGTCAAACAGTTTAATATTTAATGATATAAGTTATAATATATTTCAGCATATTTTAAGGAATGTCTATAAAGAACTGTTAATGTCATCTTATAAATATCATATAAATATACAGACCTGTCTAAAACTTGATCTCTCTTCAAATTTACAGCATCAGCATCATAATGTTCAGAATGTACCAACTGTTCAGCAAACTCCTGTAGAGAATTAATCTTCTCTTCTTGTGAATTGATAGCTCTATCAAAATCTTCATGTTTCTTGATCAGGGTCTCTACATTATCTCCATCTACTGTATCACCAGCCAGGAAAGCTTCACGAGCAGCCATCCAGGATTCAGCCTGTTCACAATCACGATAGAACAACTGTAGTTCGAAACATTGATCCAACTTCTTACGACGAGAAATCCAGGCTCTAGAATAAATCAATATTGAGTTATAACAAGTCATGATAAACATGATATAAATGTTAAATTGTAAGATTCATGCATTGAAATAATTCATAAAGACAAGATGTTATACCATATAATTATAATAATATAATAAAAATTCCAAGGACATGGTCCTGTCTAACATTCAACACATGATATTAACAACAAAACTGAAAGAAAAATAATACTCTGAATAGCTAAGATAGTCAACACAAACACAAAATCAGTTCTCAAATGTAGTGAAATTGCCCTCAAAGTGGCGGATACTTACTGTTCCAATTCTTCTCTAGCCTTAGCTAATTCTTCTAATTTATTCTGAACATCATCACTAGCATAGTGCTGATTCTGTAACAGTTGCTGGCCGAGAAGTTCGAAAGCTTGGAACGTACCAGCTCGGGCATCAATCTCTGTCCGATGTTCCTAAAATAGGTTACAAAGGTCAAGGTTACAAAAGGTCAGATGGTCGCTAAGAAGGTAATAAATTTGGAAAGTTCTGATAAGGATTAAAAGTAAACAGAATTTTCAAGATGTGGTTATTCATTGATTTTTATATCATCTCGTGACTTTTGATTTCAATTGCGCCAAAAAGACATTTAATATTTTTTTGTTTGATGATATTAGTATGAAAGCTATTATATTATAATAACTGCCAAAAATAATAATAATCCAAATATCACACACTGAAAATTCTGTTTACTAATATATCAAATGAACTGTGCCAAAAGGAAAAGTATTGAAAAGAACAAAAGATCCAGAAAAATAAATTTAAATAAATGAAAAAAGTGAAAATGTTTCATTGAAGTGGAAAAATTGTGCATGGCAAAAAAGAAAAGTTTGAAATAAAAAGTATTTTTTCAAAAATCATCCAAGATGCTTTGTAATTTTCATGCCTTTTCAAAATGGTGGAGAAATTTTTCATGCATGTTAGGATCAACATAACTGATTTGATAACAGAAATTGAAGATTGAAATGAATAGGACTGTCCTTATGTGCTACTTTATGGTAAAGGGGCCTTATTCTGGAAAACTTAACTTTAGATGATTTTAATGTTGAAATCATCTGATTGATAAATCATTAAAATTGATCTTAATTATCCAATCAAATAACTGTATTCCACAAAACCAAGATTTGATCTTATTTATCAAGAATAAGGACCCAGATAGATATCACTGCCAATAGGCAAGTAGAATGAATAATTGGATATTAGCCAAAGGACAAGTTCAACTTGAAGAGCACTTCATCAAAAGAAGTGGAAGAGTATCAATGGTATGGTGTTCTAAGTCTGATCTGAAGAAAATGTCCTGTTGGGTGAATGAGAGATGGGGGGGACTTTATTGTTGTTGCTTACTAAAGGTGGTTGCATGAACAGGATTCACTGTACATGTAGATGGGTAATTTTCAATGCGACTTATTCCACTTCTATACTGTTTGATTTGGGGAAGAATTGAAACAGCCTGTTCATTGAGAACTCTTCAATAGAGCGCTACTCAAATGAATAGTATAGTCAGGCTATAGTAAAACTATTGAAATGGGATCAGATCATGCTATTTTCTCTTTCTATCATGCTCAAGTTATCTCCTACTCAGTTCTCAACACTAAACTAGAAATATTAATACAGTATAAATATCTGAAATAAATCGTGTATTATTATCAAACAATCAGTTATTACTGGGTCTATCTTGTTAATTTGGGGGAAATTTCAGTCACATATTCTGTATTCTATATCAAAAACCGTGTTTCAGGGCAAAAATTTACAAACTTCTAACAGATTTTAGATCTCCAATAGTTTCTTATATTGGGAAGTTTTTTTTTTTAAATGAAACATTTGGTTCGATCCAAAGTCTCTACATTTGATTATAGAATACAGTTTCAATCAGGCAGCTAAAATGGGGAAGAACTCGTCAATCGGTTGTCATGACAACGTGCAAACTACCTCTTCCTCCTCCTCATCAGTAAGGGAGGTAATGCCATAATGGCTGACAATTTCGGAACTAAACATCTGGAAATTAACAGAAATAAAATATACAGGGGGGGTCAAATAAATACACAGGTACAATTTCTGAAAGAAATCAGTGATTTTCAAAGGAAAAGAGTGATTTTGTGTTTAGGTAAGAAAATATATGTGAATTTAAATAGAAATCATAAGAAAAAAAGAAACATATAGAAGTGAGATGTAAAATGTGAATTAAAATGGTGAATTTCCTGAATAGTAGAGAGGGAGAGAGAGAGGTGTGTGCTTAAACATTAAACAAAATAAACTTAGTAATTAATTAACATTTTTATACACATTTTTACACATTAAGCCAGCTGACTTGTAAGGTTGATTTGTAGGCGTTTTCAATAAATTTTCAATGTCCTATCAGAGATGTGAACATTCCTTTAGCTATGACTTTGAAGAAATAACTGGAGTTATAAATCCAATGTAAGAGTATATTACCTGATGGCGTTCCAATAATGCCTCTGCTCCTGTTACGTCTTTAGCTAATTCATCTGAGGAAACTAGAGCCATCATACTGTTAATCCATGATGTAAGATCTCTGTAATATATATATATATATATACTGTATGTGTGATTAATGTATTAAAAGAACATTTGATATAGGAGGTACACAACATATCCTTTAATTTTAATTAGTTAGATAAAGTAAATTTCTCTAAATCTGGCGTGTATATCTTGAAGAAATAAAATGTTGAAAATAAAAGTTGGCTAAACTGATATAATTTTTTATCACTTATACATGCCATTTCACAGATATATACTAACACTTCAGACCAACTTACCTGTAATCACTAAGGAATCTCTGTAAATCTAAAGCATCTAATAATTTAGCTTTACGATTATCAGCTTTAGCTGTCAGGTTATTCCATTGTTCATTGATCTCAGTTTGATGTTCATAGATAGTTTCAGCTTGATCAGGGTGGGTCTGCATTAATCTCTTAGACATTTCATCTAATTCAATAACCTAGAATACACACATTGTTTAAATAAAGCACCAATATGACTGTAAATAATCAACTTACAATTTTCAAATATTAGAAAAATATTAAAAAACCTAAAAGTTCTCCATATCCAAAAATCCAAAAGCTTCCAGAATGCACGGTTGACAACCAAGAGGTCTAGCCAAGTAAGGATCCTCGTGAACATTAGTTGCAATCCCAAAATTTCTATAACAAAGAAACAATCCCTACCTTTTCACCTAGAGCAGCAAGATCTCTCTCCATGGCATCGTGTTTCCTCTGTAAGGCCTGGACACTGGCTAAATCATGTCCATAATTATCATTATTTAATGCTTGATCTTTCTCATTGATCCAATCTTTAGTTTCATCAACTTCTCTATGGTATCTCTGTACTTCAAAAGCACTACCTAGTGTCTGAGCTCGTTCAGCTGATACTTGCTGTAAGGTCACCCATCTTTGATTCAATTGCTGAAAACAAAACAATCAAACTTTAAACCATGTTCAACAAAATAGGAGAAATCCTTGTATATAACCTTTTTGCAAATAGAGTCCAACTTTCATAATTTTCCCTCTAACATTAAGAATTTAGATTGTAAAAATAAAATCCGCAGTAAATTGGTGCAAACTTAAACATCAATAGAAAGTAATAGTAAACTTACAGTAATCTGTTCTCTGATCTTTTCAGCAGCTTCTGTTTGTCCCATAGCAGTTAATCTATCAGCTATAGAGTTTAATTCTTCTAATCTAGCTTCATTAGCTTTCAGGTCCTGTAAGTAATATATTTAAACATCTTTAATGAAGGCTTTTTTCTTTCTTTTTAAGCAATTAATCCATAGAAAACATGTAAGGAGTATATTCAGTATGTCAAAGTATCTTTAACACTGTCACAGATGAAAACCGTCAGATAAGCTAGCAAGTTGCTCTCTCCTGTCCCATCGTAACCGTTGAGATAATGAATCAAAGAAATCTGAACCACATACCTTCTGGAAGTCATTGTATTTCTTCTGCATTTCTTCAACTTGTTCCAAATCTTCACCGACCTCACCACCAATCATACTGTTTTCTTTCTCTGTTATCCAGGCAGCTAGTTCAGCTGCAGCACGTACTAGTTGATAGGCTTTACTAGATTCACCTAGCTTATCTCTTCTCTGGTTACCCAGGTCTAGTAAGTTGGCGTACCTATAATTCACAAAAAATGTAACGTTTCTTATTTTACGTTACTTATGAATTTGAAATTTGAAGAGCATTTTTGTCATCTGTACAGAAATTAAACTATTAATCATGTATTCTGTTCTGTCATATTTTTGAAGAATATTTTTTTTTTTAGCTGCCTTCTGAATTGGTTTTATTCTAAAGAAATAAATCACTATAGTTTTTGCTATTTGTAAAGCAAAGGACATATGTATTTGCTCTGCATCAAAACAGTTGTTGAATTATGAATGCGAAAGAAACTTACTGTGTTTCTATTTGGTTTTGTCTAACAGAAATAGTAAATTCATCCATAAGATTGTTTCTGCTAGCAGACAGACTAGGATCCAGTTTTTTAACATAAGCTGCTGGTACAAATCCTTGTCTATCATTGACTTCTACCTTCCACCAATCCTACAACATCAATTATCTAACAATTAAAACTTTATCATGCAACATATTAATTATCTATAATATTTTGATAGAATTTTGATGAATTTCATCTCCTAATTCCTCATAGGCTAATGAAGAGAAGCAACTCTGCAGCAAATTTGCAGACAGACAGACATTAAAAGATTATTGTATTTAATTCTACTGTTCCTACACAGTTTTCTTGTCAATCACTTTAACCTGAATCAAACCGAAGGTACTATCTTATCATCCATTAGGTCCACAAGAATGTAGTGTGTGCCATGTTTGCTGAGTTTCAGCATTAAACATTGATTGAATTATCTTTACCTTATTGACACTGTTAAGAAGAGTTAGAACATCTCCCTTCTTCATAGAAACTTCTCTAGGTGACTTCTCAACATAATCATACAGAGCTACCACCTTCTCTGTACCAATATCATCTATTACTGGGGCTTCTTGTTGCTGTAATAAAAAAAGTAAATTCTCTTAGTGCAAATATTTAGTCTAATAAGGTACTTCTTAACAAGCACACACATTAAATATAATATTTAGGGCTGAATCTTAGTTTAATGTAAATAATAACACTTATAATAATACATTAGAGAAACTTCATGTAATCATCTAGCTCTAATAAAGTATTTCCAAATAAGCACAAAAATTTCTTACCATCTTTAGAAATGAAATGAAAAATGAAATGGAGTTTTAACGATCTTTAGAGCTCGATGTTCAATTGATCATAAACAGTGGCAGAAATACATGTAAGCAATAAAAACATATTATAACACTACTTACTTTACAAGATGAAGCCTGTTCTCTCAAACCTTCAATAACACTTCTATAAGCTTCTAAATCTGACATGAAAGCTTCATGTTTCTTCAATAAAGCCTAAAAATATAAAATATAATTATAAATGGCGACGTATTTAACTATCATAATTACTAAATAACAGTTTTGTTGAAGTAAAATATATAACACAGAGCTCACTCATAAAAATCTGTTCAATTTCAATAGACCAATTATTTGATTTCACTGTTGATGTGGGATTGATCCAAATCATGGACCTAAATTTCAAGGCAGTCAGTCTTTAATAGCAGGCATCTTACCTCAGAAGAATCTTCATCTTTACCATAATCAGTATTAGCAGCAATTGGTTCCTTTTCTTTCATCCATGACTCGGCTTCATTAGCATCAGCAAAATATTGTTGAGCTTGTAGAGAATCTTCTAAATCTTGTTTTCTTTGAAGAGATTTATCCTGTAATTATATAGAAATATATTTGTTATTGTCAGGACTAGAAAATACTTCCAATTGTAAATATACTACATAGTGGTATTCTATGAATTATTAGATCAGACGGTCAAGTAGACGCCACAGAATTCTCAAAGCAATTTTCTTATATAAAATGATAAAAAATCTGAAAATGGCCAAAAAAGGGTCATGTATCCAAATGAATGTACAAAAAAATAGCGAAAAGTGAAGAAATCTACACATACCTTTAGTTGTTGCCATCTCTCATTCAGCTGTTCAACACTTTCATCTATGTTTTTAGAGGCAAAGTGACCCTCTTTAATCATAGCTTGACCATGTTGGCAGACATTATTAATTCTAGGTTCATGACCAGCTATTTCAGCTTGTAGAGCTTGATGTTTCTTCATTAGATTCTGAACACCAATAAGATCTCGTCCTGAAATATATTTAACATCAGCGCTTAGAGTAATTTTTATTAGATAAGCGCTTTATAAATGCTTTGTAATCAATAAATAAATAAAAAACATCACTAGTTAATTTTATCAAATACAACCAGGGTTGTAGCCACAGTGATCCATGCCAGTTGCCAGTAGCCAGTATTCAACTTAACAAACAGCATTTATATGAAAATAAAAGTTCACCTACTGGAACAAAACGTTATGTATAACTATTGAAACACGCAAGATTTTAACACATTTTACTTGTGTGTTCATTTAACCCATTACTCCAGGCATGAATTCTCTTTAATTCCAGTCCAGTATAAATAAAGAAGATAGAGTTACCTCTATTAGTAGAAGCAGCAATGGGTTCCTTTTCCCTAATCCAGTCTTCTTCATCAGCTATATCACGTTGAAATTGTTGTAATCTTTTAGCATCATCTAATTTCTTCTGTCTGTCTACCATGGGAGCCTAAAATAACATTTAATTATTGGTATTACTGATAATGTTGGCACACAGTATGATAGAGTATAGAGTATATACTATTAAGTATAGAATTGTAACTTTAATTTGATCACTACAATATTTACTACAGCATACTACCCTATCTACCAACATAGGTACCCTTTTTCTATTTTATTCATTCTATAAATATCCTGCGTCAACATACCTTAATTTTCTGGTATCTTTCCACCAGTTGTACTTTCTTAGCCACAATAGTATCAGAATCAAAATGATCCTCATCTTTAAAAGCATTAGCCATATGAGATAGAGATTCAATTCGGTCCTGAAATACAACACAATAATTCAATTTTAAATCAATATCCATGAAGATCATTTGCAAGTCATTACAAGTTAAGAAGGATTTTGCTCTTTGAGATAACATTGCAGAAACATTTTTTGTAGATTTTTAATGTATTCTCAATGAAAATGTAAACTAATACTGAATTAATATATATATATATACAATATCATAAAATATTTTTACTGTTAAAATAGAACTCAAAACAAGAATGGTTTCTGTATACAATATATATAGTTCACTGCAAAAAAACAATTTTCACCCAAATTCAGCTCTATTGTTTCAAATTTTAAATTCCTAGCAATTTATTTAGTATAACGGGTAAATTTATCACAGATAAAGTACCTGATAAACATATAGTGTAGCCATATACAATCATAAACTAATTTAAACTGATGATTTTGATAAAAGAATATAATACCTGATGGGCCTGTACATCAGCCTCTATTAATTGATGTTTCTTCTGTAAATTCTGTACACTGGTTAAATCCTGTAACAATACAATAATTAATCAATTAGATGATCCTAGTAACTATTCTTTACAACTAGTATAAACTTGACTAATATCTATTATCATATTGAATTGAAATCAGTGTATTATAGTACATATAGTGCTTGAGTGCTGGTTTAAATTATAGTTTATCATATCTTGATTGACAATCTTAACATTGGCAAACTTTACAATGGCAAACTAGATTTCATTATTTTATACAAGGCAATTTTATACGGAATTCACTTTTCTAGTTGTCAACAGATATATAAATGTACTGTGAATAAATAAGAACTCTTGACAGTTATTTGATGTATCATTCATTGTTCTTATATCCTAATGAAGAATTTTCAGGTTTTGGATAATGGATAAAATATATTTGATCACTTATACCATGTATGGCTTTATTTGTGACCTTGGCCATTGATTCACTGAGTCCTTTTATAAACTTCTTTCCTCTTAATGCTTTGTGCATATTTCTGATCTGATATAAGTTGCAAGTTTTGCCAACTAGACATGATAAACTATAAGACAATGAAATGAGTTGGTCCGTTCCTCTGTCTACTGTATGAATGATATCCATGCTATGCCTTCATATACTCTCTAACAACAATGCTCAACAACAAAACATCAACGATTATAGCTGGTCAACAATATATATACACATCCAAAGATATTCAAATCAACAACAGCTGACTGCTTTTTGGTGTAGAATTAACGGCAAGTGCATTTATATCACTTATCATTCTACCTCAAAAAAGTGAAAATAAGTTCTGTTTGTTTGAAATATTCTGAGATGTGCAGATATATTGTTTCCTGATATTTTACAGCTTTCCCCATAACAAAATTTGTCTCACTGTTACAAATTTTATTCCTTCAACTATTTATTGTATTAGTAATTTCTACTGTAAGACCTCTATTGTAATTCAACTAGCTTTTTATACTAATTCTCAAAGACTATCGGAAGCATTGGTCTACTTTAAGCTATATCTATGTTTACTGCCTACTAGACACTTAGAAAGAACATCTTAAACCATCTTATAGCTCTGAGGTTTTCAACATATATTAGCCTTGCTTTCATAATTACAAATCATTTAGATGTAACTTGAAATTTGAAATCTACATCAACCTAAAATCTTACATAAAAACATAATAAACAACTGTCTTTACAAGCAGCCAACTAAGATAAAAAATATAGAAATAGAAAATATCAAAATAGAACTAAATGAATATTTGAATAATTTTGAATGAAACATGCAATTCTCAACTTGAAACTTAATAAAACATTCAGTTTAGGGCTGGTAAATACTGTTTATGATACAATATTACCAGGAAAAGTGTACTTTGATTACTAACAAATTCTTATCAGTGGAACACACAGTCTGCCAAATTTGTGCTGAACAATTTGCAAGGTAAGTTGTTTACATGGAAAATATTTTGAGATTTGAAAAAAATTGAAATGGTGAAATAAGGAATCTAAAATAACATATGTAATTACGTCACAGGATTCAATGTTACCAGCCCAAACTGAATGATTAAACAGTTGAATCTAAAGTCACTAGTAACTCACATATTTTGAAAGCTTCAGAAGAAAAAAATAAAATATTAAAAAGATTTTGAGGTGTAAAATGAAGGATAGACTAGAACACAGTAGAAAGATAAACTAAGTGTATAACAGGACAAAACAAATGTTAGCAGAAATTTCTTGGTTAACTACAGAATTTCATGGTTTTGCTGGATTTAAATTTCATGTTACTTGATTTCTAGAAATTGTTAGAAACATAAATTTATCAGTGACTCAGAGAGAGCATAGAGGGTGAAAGAAATTTAAAATCTATAAAATGGCGAGTTACCTTTCCGAAATCTTCTGAACCTATTTGACCTTCAATATCTCTTAACCATGAATCAACATCTTCAACATTTCGGTTAAAATTCTGTTGATTTCTGGCTTGTTTCAACTTGTTACCTGAAATTTTGTTTAGATATTATATAAATAAATTCTAATGGTATTTTACTCATTAGTAATTCCGTCAGAGACACTTTAAGCATCATTCAACACCATTCAAATTTACAGACAGGCATCTTGAAATTCCACTACAAAAACACGTAGCTATCACAAAGTTGTCAGGAATTATTAACATCTTTATAATAACAACAATGTATTAAACATATCTATAATATTAGGAATGCAAATGGCTCCAGTGCCCATAAAAAAGATAGAAAACCTCATTAAATCAACCTTTGTTGTAAGGACATTATAACATTCTATTTTCTATTAAAATTTCATGTTTTATGACACTATGTTTCTGTACCTTTTTTCTCTGTTTGTTGAAGAAGTGTATTCCACAATCGTTCTATCTCTTCAACTCGTTCAGTTATTTGTCGTTTGGCGAAATGATCGTTATCTATGAGTTCTTGTCCTGTAGTCTTGATAGTACTAATACGATTCTTGTTAGCATCTAATTCAGACTCAAAATTCTGGTGTTTCTGTAACTTGGTGGTAAGATTGGTAGGATCCTGTAAGAGTAAATCAGGTATAAGATTAACATGTATGTGTAGATAAAGCTATATGAAACAACAATCAATGGTTAAAGTTTTATACAATGTTTCAACTATCATTCTCAGGTAGATGTACTTACAATTGCTAAATGCCATTTTAAGACCACAGAATAACACATTGATAAACTGGTACTTTTCCTAACACAAACAAGAGCAATTCATTCTGTTTTTTACAGAATAGTAATTGAAAGTGAAATTCATTTAAGCAAGATTTACATTGTTTTCAACACCATTTTAAATTGCTCAATACAGTGGACTGTTGGTGCATGTTTTGAATGGATTCCATCTGCTCAAATTGTTGACAATTCATTGTTGTCAATATTGATAATATGACTGTTATTTTTCTCTTAAATATGGCAGCATGGCAACACTATTTTTTCCATTTATTATCACAGTATCTATCAGATTGCTAACATTTCACTTACCAAGTAACTTTCATCTGAGGCAGTTTTAAGTTTTTCATTGATCCAGCCTTTAGTTTCATCACAATCACGTTCAAAGATGTGCCATTGTAGAGAAGCTTCCAGTTGATGTCTTCTCTTCGTAGCTCTCTCGTGTAATAATGATCTTCTCTGTAACAACTGTAATAAATTTATAAATATTAAGTTTAATCAAAGATAATACAGAACAGAAAATTTAACTTTTCTACTGGAAAAGAACACAGAACGCTTTTAGATGGCCCATTGGATCCATTCATTTGTTTGATAGTCTTGTTTGTCTGAGTGTTAAATATTTTTTCAAGATATTATGTAGTGTGGTTCTCCTGTATTTACCATTATACATCTATCTGAATACATACTACATGTAAGTTATACACCAGAATGTTAATCTTACCTGATTACGTCTAGCATCTACATCATCAGCAGAATAATGTTCACTTTCTATCAGCTTAGTAGCAAACTCATCTAGTCCCTAGAAAATAACAATAATAATAATCATTAACCCTATAGATTCATCAAGTTTAAAAAACTATTAAAAATACACATTTTATATCATTCTACACATTCATATTTCTTTCTGTATTGAAAGAGCCAACTTCCTCAGTAAGCGCTATCTTTTTACCCTCTGATCTGTGTGATATCATAATATTCTCAATGCATCGGACACAAACCTTAATCTTCTCTTCTTGAGCAGCCAGAGATTTCTCAAAATCATTATGTTTCTTGATCAGAGCCTCTACACTGTCTAATGAATCACCTAAATCTTCATTAGCAAGGAATGCCTGGAAAAAATAAACATAAGCGTCTGAATTATTTAATTGAAACAATTTGTCAACAAATTAGAAAAAAACAAAAGATATTTAAGATTCTGGGATAAAAACATAGTGAAACTAGTCTACATAATAATAATGATAACTTTATTGGTCACTAATTCATGAGTCGAATCTTCCTTGGAGTCGAAGGATCAAATGTAAACATTTGATTTATGTACCGGTATAGTAAATAATCAAAACCTGGAACCAAGCTAATCTAGTCTACTCACTTCTTGTTTTGTCATCCAGGCATCAGCTTGTTCTGTATCTCTAATATATAGTTGTAAATCCATACATTGTTCATACAAAATACGTCTTTCTTCCCATAATTCCATTAGAGTCTTCTTCTCTGTGGCCAGAGTTTGTAACTAGAAATAACATAACAAACATTAGTGAATTAATTACATAAAACATTTATAAAAACAAATCAAGTCAAATAATTTTTACATGAATTTAACGTGCCAAATATAAGACAAATATAAGTATAAAAATCCTTACATGACATTGGAACTACTCTTAAACTGATCTCAAACCACTTCAGTGTCAAAAAACCCCAATACCCCAGTTCAATATAGAATGAATAACTTACCTTTTCTCTGGCCTCATCTGCAGCATAATGATTAGATTCAACCAATCTTTGACCAGCTTCAGCTGTAGATTTAAAACTATCTTCACGAGCATCAATTTCTCCCTTTAAAATATATATATAAACAGACTTGAATATCCAATTTTAAGAAATCAAAACCAAAGAGAGGAATCTCATTGATATATTTTACATTCATAACTTCCTTAAGTGGCATTCAGTAATTGGGTGATAAATAACTGGACACAATGTTATGAATATGAATTACTTTAATAAATAATAAATTGCGGTGTTTTGACAAAGGTACTTTCGTCTTTATCAAGCATTAATAATATAATTCTATATACTACTTAAATATATTATTTATAGTTATAGTGGTCAACACAAATAGATGATATTGAACTTCACGATTAGTAAAACAAGTATGAAATGATATATACAATATCAGAATACTTAAAAAACCATAACTTACCTTGTGTTCTTGGTGTCTCTCTAACAAAGCTTCTGCTCCAGCTACATCCTTAGCCAACTCATCAGCAGATATAATAGCTTTCATATCATGTATCCATGACACCAGATCTCGGAAATCAGCCAAGAAACGATGTAGATTGTAGGAATCATCTAGTCTGTTTTTACGATCAAATCCCTGCAAAATAACAAATTACATTTGAAGTTTCCATTGAAATGTTGTTTTAAGTCAAACTATTTTGTACTTGATTGGGCTAATACAGGCAGGAAATGCCATGCAGTATAAAATGAGGGAAATTTTACCAGGACAGCAGTATTAGCTCATTAGCCTACTCTTTTTCATTTTTATAGATCAATGAGATCAGGCCTCAATTTTACATCATAAACAGCTTGCATGTCCAACATGCTTTTAGCCAAAAATTATAAAAAAGTACCCAATCAAATTCAGAAAATAATCTAAAAGTAACACTGACCTTAGATTTAAGTTTAGCCCAGTTACTGTCAATTTCTTCCTGTTTGTTTTTAATTTGTGAAGATTGTTCAGGGTGTGTTTCTACAAGACGTTTAGACTCTGATCCCAATACAGTTACTTTCTCTTCCAGAGCAGCTAGATCACGTTCTACACCTTCATGTTTACGTTGTAGAGCCTGAACACTAGCTAGATCTCGACCATAATCATCAGATGATAGTACTGTATCTTTCTCTTGAATCCAGGCAATCGTCTCATCAGCATCTCTATAAGAAAAATAAACACAAAACATTTTAAGTTTAACAATAATTACTGCTTTATATATCAATGATAAATTTCAACATTGGTTCATTCATCAAGCTAATGGTAACATTACATCACTAACAATTTGAGTAAATATAAAGTACCTACAGAAACAAAGAATCACATAACAATTCACTAGTAAAAGTATAGATTTAGACCCCTACCTGTTAAATCTCTGTATTTCATGGGCACCAAATAATCTCTCCTGTCTAGTCAAAGATTGAGATTTCAGTCTCTGCCAAGCTTCATTTACTTCCTGGAAATACAAGAATTGTTCATTAAAAAAGAAGTGAAAAACTTTATACAAATGTATATTAATGTTAGATCAACAATGTACTAATGCAACACTTTATAGTAACTTATTTTGATATCAAGAAACTACTACTACAAAATATAATTAATTCAAAGTCAACAATAAAATTCAATCATGTATATTTGCTTTCTGGTAATTTAATTTTAGAATTTGAAATCAACATCACCTCTATTATAAGAGTTATAAGTATATTTATACCTGTTGTCTGGCTCTAATAGTCTCTTCATCAGGATGTTCTTCTACTAACAGTTGTTCAGCGAGCTTGTTGACTTCTGTTACTTTATCTTCATGGTTAGATAAATCCTTCAAATTAAAAGCAATGTTATAGAGAAATCTGATACTAAGCATAGTTATAGCCCACAAAGTGATAAAATCATTAAAGGAGACATGAAGTCAGTCTGCTATTTTGAACCATTCAAGATAGAAATAAAATACAACTCAACCTTAGTTTCAATCAACTGGTTCCAACTAAAATAACATCTTAATCCATGTCATAATTAACAATACATTTCACATCCTCTTGTTCAGACAGAAGATAACTTACCTTTTGGAACTCATCAAACTTCTTCTGTAAGACTTCAACATGTTCCAAATCAATTCCAAACTCTTCAGATGATACAAATGCTTCCTGAAATTCAAAATATATATTGAAAGTATTTTTTTTGCAATCAAAAAATTGTTATGAGATTTTTATATGGAGTAATCTGACTAAGAGTATCTTTGATCCATTAGTTGTTTCTGGACTTGATTTCAATTCTTGTGACTTTTGAAACGGTTGTGTTTAAACTTCTCATTTGTTACACCATTACGTTTCCATAGGAGTAACAGAAACAGATAAAATAATTCATCTCCATTAAATGAATGTTTTGTGTCACATTTGTAACTTCCTTAAATTGTCATGGAGGTCTGTATCATACCATGGTCCAATGGAACAAGTAACAAATGTTATTTACCTTATCATGAATCCAGAACATAACCTCATCACATTCTCTAGTGAACTGAACCAGACGTAAAGCTTGTTTTAACTTAGTACCTTTATCATTCAACTTGGATATTAACAGCTTCCATAATCTCCATAGTTCATCTAGTCTTTCCTACAAACAACAATGACCAATAATAATCATATTATGAGAAATGAAAATAAAATAGAGGTTCATGAATAACAATATTGAAACAAAAATAAAAATGAAAAATGAATGGAGTACCACATTCTATGTTTCTGCACCTAAACAGGCTGTAAAAGACAGGGCAAAGCCATGAGTGTAATAACAGAAAACTTCCACAGCCTGTACGTAGAGCATGAGATCTTGGTTGATTAACCCATTAAAACAAGAGGTTACATTTTCAAGAAGATATAAATAATCTTTCACACATAATTCAAAACAAGATAGACTACCCACCTTAATAACTTGTGAAGCAAAATGCTGTTGGTTGATCATTTCATTTCCAGTTTGGTCTAGGATCTCTATAGCATTAGCATGAGCGGCTACTTCTGCCTCGAAAGCTTGATGCTTCTGTATTTTGGCCTGCAATAATTCAACATTTTGTAATATTCAAATGAGAAAAATTTATGAAGAAAGTGTGATGTGTGGTTGTCTCATATCAAACATAGAATTTATGTCAGTTTCATACTTAACTAAAACTTTTCTCCCCGTGTTCAAAATTTACTAGGTTTTGGACATTTTTTAAAGGAAGGAGTAGAGAGGGTAATTCTTAATTTTTTGTACATGAGCTATATTTCCAATTATTCATTGCAACAATGATATATACCATATAAAAGATTACATTACTAAATAAAGATTATGTAAAAGGAATTGAGAATTCCCTCATTTCCAGTACACGTGAAGACCATCGGAAGATATATCCATCAAACTAATGAAGTATGTATAAATCAATAGAGATCACCCTGCTATTTTCTAGTCAGTATTCTACAGTCTAGTCTGCTACTGCTAGTAATTCCACATTAACCTTCATATCATGTTAACCTGACCTGATCATATTCCTTTCAAATATCTTAAGAGCCTAGACACAATTACTTTAGTAAACCTATATTTTAACAACTTAGAAACAATTACTTCAGTCAAGTAATCTTAATATTCAAATAGCCTAAACACAATTACTTCAGTCAAGTAATCTTAATATTCAAATAGCCTAAACACAATTACTTCAGTCAAGTAATCTTAATATTCAAATAGCCTAAACACAATTACTTCAGTAAAGCAATCTTAATATTCAAAAAGCCTAAACACAATTACTTCAGTCAAGCAATCTTAATATTCAAATAGCCTAAACACAATTACTTCAGTCAAGTAATCTTAATATTCAAATAGCCTAAACACAATTACTTCAGTCAAGCAATCTTAATATTCAAAAAGCCTAAACACAATTACTTCAGTCAAGCAATCTTAATATTCAAATAGCCTAAACACAATTACTTCAGTCAAGTTATCTTAATATTTTAATAGCCTTAACTACATGATCAAATGAATGCCAAGTAATCTCCGTAGGAAAAAGCCAAATAAATAAGTCAAAGAATAGTCTAGTAATCTCCATAGTCCCCATATCTCATTTGATTTGAAACTTCAATTTATTATCATTTTAATTTCCATAGTTTATTTGTACTTTATTAAATTCAAGCCTTGGACGCATGGTTAAAATAACACAATACAATTCAACCAATTCTCAAAAGCGAAAAAATTACACCTAAAATATCACAACAAATGAAAAAAGAGTACATGTAAAAATAATAAATACCTGAAGATTGGTAGGATCTTTGTAGCTTTCATCAGAAGCTGTCTGTAATTTCTCCAGAATCCAACTTTCCAGTTCGTCTGCATCTCGTTTGAAATATTGATATCTTCGTGAATCTTCAAGTTTCTCTCGCCTGTCTTTACAATTTAATTTGAAATTTGAATATCTACTTAACACTTCTTCTCTTCTATTCTGGATATCTTCTGCTGTCTCCAAGATTTTGATCTCGCGAGGCTGGACCTCGGTCATTTTGATTGCTTACTGAAATAACAAAACAAATTTTTATAAATTCACAAATTGAAATTCATAATCTATAAATATCTTTGACAGCAAAACAGACAATGTACTATTATAAAGCTAGTTTCAAATGTCCTTGTTCTGATCTGTTTTAACTATTAACTGACATGCAACTTAATTACTTTTAAACCTATAGATAGAGAATGGTTTAATAAATTATGTATACGTTCTATTGTTATCAATGGTAATTAAAGAGTAGACTCCAGTTAAATACTAGTAAAATCAAAGCCTAGGTCTAATTTGAGCACCAAAGTGACAATCTATACACAACAAAACAGTTGAAAATACTTCTAGCCTAGCCTATTTTATGGGATAGATGCCTATGTATTAACAGTTAACAATATAAAGAAGCAATATTACTTTAAGGTTCCAGACAAATTACTTTATTTCTGTCTGATTATAGAAATATTACCTCTATTCACTGCCCTGTTCTATTATAACTGATTTAAGAGTAGAAAGATTGATGAGAAGAGAGTGTATATTAAATGAGGAGTATCAGTATGGAGTTGGAAGACAATGAAGGTGATTGGATGGTATTAGAAATGTGTTTATAATTACTAGCCTAGGGTTTAATATCAACTATTTATAAAGCCAGGTTATATAATAACTATCTCTAGTATCTAATACCAGTCCATTGCTATTATATCTTAATTCAACACAGACCTATACAATTACTTATTAACGACCTTTCTTCTATACGGAGAATAATCCAAGGTGGATTAAAGCTGATGATAGACGTCAGTCAGGAAGATTTTGTCTTTAGAATTGTCTGGCAAGAACCATTTCTCTCAGACAATTTGTTCGAAAGGATTTCTTTCTTAAACATCTACGTGATGTGAATAAATTAAGCAGCATGTGAAAGACCCATTATTTACAGTTCAGAATAAGTTTTGCATAATCAATTGTGACAGATACAGTGATGAAAATGTCATCAGTTGGTATTTTTTATAAAACAGGAAAATTGTTTATAAAATTGTTGATACTGAATTGTTATTTTTGGCGATGCTTCCATAAACAACAATTGACAACTCAAATCTCTTTCTTTCTCACAAATAAATCAAACAAGATAAGTGTCACCTTATAGCCTGAAATTATGAATTAGGCGAAAAAACTGTGATAGCCTACTACACATTCAGTGCGAATGTCACTTTCAGCCAAATTCAGTATGCTTATTTCAAGCACCAATTTCAAATAAAAACAGAAAAGCATACCACTTTGACGTCTGCTCCTAGAGTTGATTGTCAGTAAATATAGCAGAAAACAATATAAACCATAATATATCACATATATTGTGAACAACAAACAAATTAAGGCCACAAACACATCAGGATGTTCCTCAAGAAATGGGCATTTAAAAAACATAAATGGTCCACGTTATGCTGTCCTAAAGTCTTTAAACAAGTCTTAAAGTATTCTGTTTCAAGCTAACATCAGCTCCCGCTGTATCCAAATATGCAAAGAGTCATTTTGATATGAATCTAACTCAATATTTCACAAATTTAAGTTTGATATTTTTCCTCCTGAAGATATTGCGATCCAAGCTAGAGTAAACGGAGAAAAATAATCACCAGTAAAGTGTTCACGACATAATGACTGATGATATTTTAACCGACACAACGTGATGAATTCTTTAAAGAACCTGGTGATTGAGCCTGCAGGACTTGTCGACCTAAAATTACCATAGTAACCATACTTTATATAGCCACTAATCAATAATTTTCCTCCATAGACAGCATAATCATGATTATTGTGCTAGGCCAGCTTACCTCAATAATATTATAACAGAATTACAAGGTAGAAAGCACAATTATTTATATAGTAAAGGCAAATTCCAGAAAACACAGGCTAAATATAAGAAATATTTTAAAATACTTCAAACCTGCAGTTCTTTCTCATCTAACAGTCAACAATGCCTGATTTACTGTTTTGAAGTAGAAATTATTTAACTCTTGACAGTGTGCACTGCCAAAGGATCAAAGTAGCCTCTTGTGATGTTAATATAAATTTATCAATTGATTACATGCCTGGCTCTCATATTGGAGGTGTCCAGGGATGCCACATGGACAAGTTTATATAATACAAGATGATGACTTCATACCGCTGTTGATTTGTATGGACAAATGGACAAAATGTGACTATTTGTAAATTCTAATTCACCTACAGAAGGTGAGGGGGGAACTGACAGTGATTCCTATATTTTCATTAGTTCTTTACATGGGAAATGCCAATCTCTGATTCATTATCTATAAGCTGTGTCTATGTTCCTTTATTTAACCATATTAATCAGTCTATTCTACCCAGCTAAGAGCTTTTGTTATTTATTGTGTCTACTGCCTAAGAAAATGTCAGTATAACAATATTAATTCCTGGTAAATACTTCCACAAGATCATAGAACTGTAATAGATGGAACGCCAACTTGTCATTCTGAACACAACGTCATTAAAATATGTACTGCAGGGATGACGGTCATTTTGGAGTTCAATCCATTACAGTTCAATAATGAGACATATCTATTCGTAATCCTAACTGATAGTTATTCAATATAATCTGAACAGACAAAATTTACAAAGTATTCTGGTAATTAATAGAGAATATCAGATCTAAAACCTACCTGTTATTCAAACAGTCTCAAATATATTGTGGCCTTACTGATACTAGTATGGTGAATAATATTTTACATGATTCAGTGACTGTAACAACAGCTGTCAGTATATTATTCATTGTGACTAGCTAGAGGCTAGAGGTACAGATATAGACTAGGTTTATTAACCAATATCACTATACTGGTTCATCAAATATATAACTAAATATATCTTATATATCATATTCTATAAAGTATCAGTCAAATTCATTTTCTTTTTACCAAACTGTGACAATGAAAGTTAGGATATGATCTGGTGTTTTTTCTCCCCTACATAAAACGTGACCTGCCGTATACATTTTTTAAAGTAATGAATTAAATAGGGTTTAAATATAAAACACTCTTTCACATTGAATTTTAGATGAGACATAATACAAAGATGTATTTTATACAGGTTGAAAATAAACTATTATGGGTAGCATTACAAAGGTTATAATGTGGCAGAATGTTAAAGAATGTGATATAGTACTAACATAACAAGTTTAAACTATATCAACAATACAATAGGCCTGATAACATGATACATTCATTCACTGTTTGAGGTCATTTTATATCATACTAGGATATTTCAACAATCTAGGTCATTATAGGTGTAACAGTTCATATAAGGAGGGACAATAATACCTGAATTAACACAAAATTGGTCTTAGTCTGTCACACCTAATAAGGCTTATAGACAGTGAAAACAAATCTGAATGATATCCTAAATATTATAGGAAAAAGATAGAACATTTTCATCATTACAATTCGATCCAAGAATTAAATTTTTTAAGGATATGTAAGTCTGCAGGATTGGGTCCTGTTTCAAAAAAATCTTATCATGTGGAATTAGACACAGCGAAATACCATACCTAAATAAAATTTAGACTTTTAAAAAAATGAGAACAAAGCTATTAAATAGATTCTTGTCCCTCCCTTATGAAGGCAATGATATAAATTGTAGATTTTAGAGATTGGCACTTATCCAATATATTTTATTTATCAGCCATATTTTAAATAAATTCTCTTAGAGGAAATCATACATGTCTGCTTCAACGGGTTACCATGGAAACAGAATTATTCTGTCTACTTGAATGAAATCAAATATGACATATCATTTAAATTCCCTGGAAGGAAGTTGAATGTAAACAATGACAATTGTTTTATAGGAAGAGTTGAAAACAATTTAGTCCTGTGAAAGCTGTTGAACCAGTCTAAATATATTGAAAATATGAAAAAAGCTTATATCTGAGGGATTCAAATAATATCATATTTGTACATGCTATCTTTTTGTTTTAAAATTAAATGCTGATTATCTCAAAATTACTTTATTATTCTCTACTCATGAAAATCAATTCATCACTGAATATTAAAAAGAAATCATCCAACATCGTTATCATAATTTGTCCTTTAGCAGAAAACTATCAAAGTTTCTAAAAGTGCACTTTGGATGACATTTGATGTTCCTCTTGCTGTTGATGTCAGAATTTTTTGTTAATTCTATCAGATATATTTTCTCATTAAGGTTAACCCCTATTATATTTGACATTCAAACATTCGTTACACCCTGTACATCATCAACTAATGTCTGTTTTAACTTTTATAAAACTATAGTTGACAATAGATACAGAAGTATCCATTATGTGCTACAAACAGAAAGGTACATAGGAATAGTTCAACACCGAATTCTGCTAGAGGACAGTATGTACATTTTAGAGAGATGTCATGGTTATGAAGAAAAAACACAAGCTGCCATGTTTTGTTATCTCAGACAAGTATGAGTTCTCGGCCTAGAAGTCATCACAATTAATCGAAATCGTCAGTCGTATTTTATTCACCAGTCATCGTCCAGTCTTTTTCCACTAGCTGGAATTAGTAATTGTATAATAAAACATGGTGCTCACTACTTAAAACTTTTTTTATTTCAGCTTTCTCGAAAGTTAAGTTTAAGGGTCCTAAAGAAGAGGTGATCTTTACCAATTTTGAATCAACAATCAAGCTCTAATCATACATGGAATGTGCCATTGTGCATCATAAATTAAAAACAGATCTTTGAAAGTTCCTTTATTGAACAGTTAGCTGAGTACATTCAAGTATGTTCTGCATAATATATGTAATAAACATAAAATTGTTGAATAGCACATGATTTATTTGTATAGCAATTGAAGAAATCAGTTAAAATTTACTTCGGGATCTAATGGGCTCCTACAGCTCTGTTCATTCAACTGCATTCGTCAGTATCAGGGTTTTATACAAAATATTCAGACTTGTAAGCCATAACTGCACTATTACATATTCCAAGATATCTTGAAGTATTTACTATAATCTAATATGTATACAGGTACTTGGCCAATATAATGATGTACAGTAACTGAGTGAGGACATACTCCTAATAACTTATCTAAGTGTGTATAAAATCTTCTTATTATTAGTCTAATTTAAATTGGTATTTCAAATATGAAATTTTCGCATGCTTTTTTTTTCTCTCAACTGGTTGATGACTATGAGTAAAAGGTAGATCTGCTTTGATTAACATTGCAATTAAGAGGGAGTAACTCTATTTAAGAGGTGATAAATGAAACGAATTTCATTGACCCAGATTCTACAACAATTCGTCATCCGTATAAATGGTTCAAAATATCAGCTCAATTATGGAACTTTCGATAGGGTATATCATTATGCCCATTATTATTAACGTTGATGTGGACTCTAAACCTTACTTTTCTCTAACCGGCAAAATAAACATAAAAAACCCAGTGGGCCAGCCTCAGCAAATTCCGCCGCACCCAATCAATCGATGTCCCTCCAGATTCCGTGCATATTTCTGCAATATATTGAAATCCAATCCATAGAGTCGTAGAAATACATCATGAGATGTACAAAAATTGTTTATCAGTTCTTAGACAATCATATATTTAAAGAAATGCACTCACCTTTGCAGAATTTATTGTAAATCTTCAACACCTCAGATGCTTATTAATCGGTATACTCGACCTTCATCAATTTGGCTGTTTAATCTATCACCTATACCCCTTATCTATATAAATTCAACAAAAGATATTCCTCCCAGTCTAGTCATATTTCTTCTGATTTTGAAAATTTACATTAATTGTGAGTTGTAGGAGGGGAAATTAAATTCAGTTATCTATGGATTTCAGAATCCAGGCTTTATACCTTAAAACAAGATATTTCAGTAGGGAGGAAAAACAATAAACGGAACCTATACTATCCCACGTGGTATAAAATGAATGACTAATCTGATCACGTGACTTCATTAATATTCTGATACATTTTTCAGTTACACTAATTCAATAAAATTCCGTGCCTTTTCTATGCCTTCTCAATATATGTACGTTTAAAAAACATAAAAGCACTCTGAAATGTTGTAAATTTGATTTTCAATGGAGATAATTCATTAAAAACCTTAGAAAATGTATTATGGAACATTGGAGACTGCTGATTCAGCTGCTTAAATATTCATCCAATCATATCTTGATTATATATAGAATTTGACTACGTCACATATTTACAATTATGAGGTCAACATAGTATGGCGGACACCAAGCTCCGAGACTTGCCACAACTTGTTGAAATTATTTTTTGAGAATCACAATTCAGAAGTCGTACAGAAGATAAAAGTGTGTAGTCAGTTGCAATTATGCTTTCAGTATATGGATAACAAATCTGATGGCGATGGCTAAAGCGTGTGATTCTGGATCCAAGATTGAAACTTTGGTGATTTTTGACATTGAAGCGACGGGACTTCCCAGTCCTAGCTCACCACCCAAGATAACGGAATTTTCTATGGTTGCTGTTAATCGAAATGAATTGTTATCACCGAATGGAAAACCAAGAGTAATTAATAAACTGCAGATATGTGTGAATCCAATGAAACCTATTCCACAAATTGTTAGCGAATTGACAGGTAAGCCTAGACATTTTTTATACTTTAGTTAGTAGATTTCACATAATTGTAATAGCTACAGACCACAAATACATTTTAAGATAACAAGGCTCAGCATCTGTTACAATGTTACCTTTAGGTTCATTATTAGACCAAAACACCTGACTCTATTCCAGCCGCAGATAGCTTTTTTTAACTGTTAAAATATCTATCAGAGGGAGATGTTTCGGAATAGCCTTGTTCATCATCTGTTGTAGCCTAATGTTACCTTTTTATAGGTTCATCATCTGTTGTAATGTTACCTTTTTAGGTTCATCATCAGCTGGTTATATGTTACCCGTTGGTTCATTATCTGTTGTATCATGTTTCCTCTAGCTCATGTTAAGGTTCATCAAATGTTGTAAAATATATATCGTTAGATTCTTCATCTTTTGATATTTATTACCTTAAGGTTCATCATCTGTTTTAATATATAACCAGGTTCTTCATCTGTTACCTTTAGGTTCATCATCTGTTGAAATATCTTACCTTTAGGTCCATCATCTGTTGATGTTACCTTTAAGTTAATCATCTGTTGATGTAACTTTTAGGTTCATCACGTGTTTCAATATTTTACCTTTAGGTTCATTATCTGTTTCAATATTTTTACCTTTAGGTTCATCATCTGTTTCAATATTTTACCAATATTTTACCTTTAGGTTCATCATCTGTTTCAATATTTACCTTTACGTTCATCATCTCTTGAATGTTACCTTAAGGTGCTTTATCAGTTCTAATATTACATCCTGGGTTCATCAACTCTTGTAATATGTTACCTTTAAGTTCATCATCTGTTACCTTTAGGTTCGTTATCTGTTGTTATATGTAACCTTTATGTTCATCATCTGTTGTTATATGTTATCTATTGTAATATTATATCTTTAGGTTCATCACCTATTGTAGTATGTTACCTTTAGGTTCATCATCTGTTACCTTTAGGATCGTTATCTGTTGTTATATGTTACCTTTAGGTCATCATCTGATATAATGTATCACCCGTTGTAACATGTTACCTTTAAATTCATTATCCGATGTAGTATATTAATTTTAGGTTCATATTTTTTGGTTCACCATATAATGTTATATTTAACCTTTAGTGTCCTTTGTGTTCATCAACATGTGTTCTATTAAGCTTATTTTATCTGTAGGTTCACTATCTACCCCATTCCATAAATAATAGACCATCAGCTTTTATCAGAGGTTTGAAATAATACAAAGATAATATTTTCATTCTTCTAGTTGCATTCTTCTATTTTAACCAATGAACTTATCAATTGTCATTTTCTCGTTTCAGGTTTATTTAATGATCATTTAGAAAATCAGCCTGTATTTAATACCGAACTTGTCTGTATAATCAACGGATTTCTAAACCGCTTACCTCAACCAGTTTGTCTCGTAGCTCACAGCGGACATGGTTTTGATTTTCCTCTGCTGAAGGCAGAGCTTGAACGTGTTGGTGGTGCACTCAAAGATCATGTTACTTGTACAGACTCTCTCATCGCTTTCCGGGATCTTGCTGGAGAAGAACCATGGGAGAGCCATAAACCTTTTTTACTGAACTCTAAGTATGAGACTCACCCAAGTGATTCCTGTGTGGGAAACAGTTCGTCCAATACAGACTCTATGCAAGCTTCTACCAATCATTCTTCCAATTGTGTCCAGGAATCTCCCTTAGATTTAAGTCAAGGATTAAATCCCCTGAATTTGAGTGAAAATAACGACCGTGGACCTCTGATAGATGAAAATATGAATATTAGTTCTGATATACAACCCAATCAAAATATTCATATGAACAATAATAACGAACAGATGGTAGATCTGGAGATTCAAAATTCCACCCCACCCGGCGAACTCTTGCCAGAAGAAGACATCGAAGACGAAGAAAATTTAAATTCACCTCCGAGACAACAGGTGCTCGTTCGTCAAGGCTCATCTGACTTTTCTGAGGATGATTTGAGCATGGATTCAATGAGCTTCAAATTTGTTAATGAAAATACTCCAGCCAAACGACCAGATACAGAGACCTGGGCTCCAAGAAAAAATATCCCACCAAAAGAAAGAATTGAACCCGGTAGGACGAGAAGACAATTAAATTTTGAAATTGACGAATCCCCTGAACCAAAGGCAACTGAAACACCAAATAAACTTCCATCCATTTCAGATGCACAGCTAGGAAAAACCAAACGAAGATTGAACTTTGGTGCTCCAGAATCAACCGTGCATTCTAACTTTGATTCCGGCGAATCTTGTCGAAAATTTAAAAAAATAAATGATTGCGAATCTGGTGCTAAAGCTGGCTTTTTGAGAGAAACTAGCCAAAGACAAACTGTTTTCACTTCTCCTATTGATGTTGACACAGACGGCAATGATCAAGGAGTCATTTCCCCTAGTCTAAGTGATGAAGACTTTCTGAGTGCTGTTGAAAGTATGGAGAAATCTTTTGACGAGACCCCTAAACGATCATCTAAAACTATTTCACGGACACGTCAAGTAGAAACACAAAATCTTACGACCGATGTTGGGCACAGCAAATCAACACCCCAACCAAGTGCTTCTACATCAACCAAACGATTATCATACAGTTTAGTGAATTTGTATACGCGGGTGTTTGGTTGCTGTCCAGAGTTCTCGCATACGTCGGAAGATGATTGTATGACATTGTTGGCTTTAATTCAAAAGCATTCGCCACAAGTTTTATATTGGATAGATTCAAATCATATACCGTTCAAAGATGTTAAAGCCATGCACTGACCACAGATTTTCACTATAAACTTATTTATGCTAATTGTTAAGAATTATTTTTGTTAGTAATATATTAAGGACGGTTTTAATTTTATGAGTAGTTTTTACTTTAGAAAACTTTTATTAAATGATAATGAAATTATGAAAACAAAATTAGTAGAATGAACATGATATGAAATTCCACAAAACTCACAACTTCCAGAGACATCAATCAGTTCGTAGTTATCGTGTTTTTATAAGATATTTAATCGTTTGCTCCCCAACCGCCATCTTCATAATGGTCTAGGTATTATAAACTTCGTCTTATTCGCGATATACCTTGACCATGTGATGTGAAGATGTCCAACCGTTAAGACTTGGCTTAATTCTATAATACAATTACCGAGACCTATTGTTCTATGCCCCGTGGTAAAATAACATTAAGAATGGAATATATATTTTGTTAGATTTTCATTTAGAATTCATTCTTTTAATTTCCCCCAATAATGAATATCACAATAGAATGAAACAATGAAATATATAATTATACAAAAGGAAATCGAATGACAATCATATACAAAGGAAGTTAATTTCAATAGATCGGGATTTGTCAAGGTGTTACGTCTTTATCTTATATACATTTACTGCAATAGCCCACTTTCTTGTTTCGCGGTCAGCATTTTGATTGGATTGTTCGCTGGCCAATACAGCCAATCTGAATTAGAGCCCTTAATTTCCTGTTTAGGACCTAATTATTTTTTACAGTCTCTCTGTAGAAGGCTCAGATTGTATACAACCCAATTAAATTGCTGCATTCACAAACAAGAAAGTTTGCCGCTGCAGTCAAGGTACAAGATGAAGACTTAATACCTTAACTCTTGTGAAGATGGGGAATTTATATGCCGAGACAATGACTGAGAAGTCGTGCTGAAGATTCTGTATAAATGCTATGACAATATCAATTTTAAGACAGTGTCATATTGTTATAGGTTTCCAGACATACTTTAATATATTTATTATGTCTATACACCATAATTTTGATATATTTGTATATATATTATATTTATGATAAGATATAACTAATTATTGTTATTTTGTTATATTATATTGTCTCTGATTCTAAATAAATAATACCCTCTTACATCTGAGACTCAGATAGCACAGTACCAATTTGTGACTGTTCAGTTAGTTACTACAATATAGTCATTTAGTCCAAACATTGAAATCTAATCCCTGGGAAAGAGAGTGTTGCCCAAATATGAAGGTTAAAATTAGGTACCATTAATTTTGCACGACACCACGTCGAAGGTTGGGATTGAAATTGTGGCAGTGGTGTTGATTTGGAAAAGAGGTGGGGGTTCCAATAATTAGCGAAGTGCTCATATCAAATACTGAAATCTAATCCTCATATCGATGGATTGATTGACTACTTATAGATGCAGGAGTCTGGATGATCTCAGATGTGGATCGCTCAATATTTGCTAGAAAAAAAGAACTTATACATGAACAATTAATGATGACATCATGAGGCAAGTTTCCAGTTTGTCAGGCAGACTGAAAACATCGACTAATTAGATACATCACGGATGCCACCAGTTGTTGAAAATCCAGCTCCAGGATTTCGTCATTCATAGATATTGGCGGGTATTATCGATAATATGAAAACCTGTTATGGCGTAACATAAATCAGATTTTCAAACACATGATGATGCCCTAAAACATACATTTTAATGAAATTTTTCATAACGATTCACACACACATAATGTACACAAATTACATGCCTAAATATGCGAAAAGATGGAACAATTATGATTTACAGGTCTCAATACAATGGAACTATAAGACCTTATACGATGCAATACAATGGAATAATAACACCTTATATGATGCAATACAATGGAACTATAACACCTTATACGATGCAATGTAATGGAACTATAACACTTATACGATGCAATACAATAGAACTATAACACTTATACGATGCAATACAATGGAATAATAACACCTTATACGATGCAATACAATGGAACTATAACACTTATACGATGCAATACAATAGAAATATAACACTTATACGATGCAATACAATAGAACTATAACACTTATACGATGCAATACAATAGAACTATAACACCTTATACGATGCAATACAATGGAATAATAACACCTTATACGATGCAATACAATGGAACTATAACACCTTATACGATGCAATACAATGGAACTATAACACTTATACGATGCAATGTAATGGAACTATAACACTTATACGATGCAATACAATGGAACTATAACACCTTATACGATGCAATACAATGGAACTATAAGACCTTATACGATGCAATACAATGGAACTATAACACTTATACGATGCAATGTAATGGAACTATAACACTTATACGATGCAATGTAATGGAACTATAACACTTATACGATTCAATACAATGGAACTATAACACCTTATACGATGCAATACAATGGAACTATAACACTTATACGATGCAATACAATAGAACTATAACACCTTATAAGATGCAATACAATGGAACTATAACACCTTATACGATGCAATACAATGGAACTATAACACCTTATACGATGCAATACAATGGAACTATAACACTTATACGATGCAATGTAATGGAACTATAACACTTATACGATGCAATGTAATGGAACTATAACACTTATACGATTCAATACAATGGAACTATAACACCTTATACGATGCAATACAATGGAACTATAACACTTATACGATGCAATGTAATGGAACTATAACACTTATACGATGCAATACAATGGAACTATAACACCTTATACGATGCAATACAATGGAACTATAACACCTTATACGATGCAATACAATGGAACTATAACACCTTATACGATGCAATGTAATGTCACTATTACCCTAGATATTATACGATGTGATACAAAGGAACACTTATACGCCGGTTACGACGCAATGGGGAAGTAATGATCATACAATGGAAATATTACGTCGTAATCGTTTAGAATCGCGCTAATACGATGTAACTATTATACTTTATTTTTATATGATGGAAATATTTTTATTTATACAATGCGATTCAGTGGAACTATATTACAGCTTATACAGTAGCGTATTTAAGCGGTAATGTATGGGTCATGAACCCAAACCCACCCATCCACCAACCCATCCCCCTTCTCGGGCCATAAAAGCAATTGAAGCAATTGATGCACTCCATTTTAACCTATTATAATGTGATTATATTTTGAAAGTGAGACAATATTTCAAAGATCAGAAGATCAAAGATCAAAATCGTTTAGCTAGTTAACACTGTAATTCAAAATATCAAAATGTTTGGACTTCGTTCACTACCGAACACTACCGATTGTTTAGTCTATGGGTGGAACTTTGTATATCATCTCTATGCCACACATTTCATGTTTGAAAAGTTAGTCCCGAGGTCGACTAACTCGCTTCACCGGATTCCGCTAGAGTAAACATGAACACCGCTTGGATTCATTTGTCCAGAAGTGGCCGGGAAAGTCACCAAAGATCCAGAACTAATACTCTTAACCGCCACTGTATCTAGATCGTGAAATCCATTTTCTTCTTTTGACGAATCCACTCGTTTGTTGTCACACGCCATATTTTCCATCTTTTCCATCTTTTCCTCAAACTTAGGCTTCATGATGAATATCTTCGACGATTTTTTTGACACACACTTTAGCATTGCCACAAACTCTGGTCGAAATTGTCGGGTCATCAACACAACAGCGTATGGATATAATGCTGGTGGAATTTGATTGAAATTTCTCAAAAATTCGAACACAGAGGATGAAATGTTCTCATAAACTACATAATGAGAATATATACTCAAAGTTATAATTCTTGGTGTAAGAAAAATCGACATCAGAATGATGGATCCAATAATAGCAGGTTTTTCTCTTCTCAGGAATATAACTCGTTTCTTTTTACCCAACGCTAAATGTTTATAGTTGGAATAGATTCGATAGAATTGTACAGATTGTGTAAAAACAAAAGCCAAGATGAGGGTTGTCTCTCTAATTACCACTGCCAAGAAAAATCGAGTGCTTTGAATCTCGGAATTGAATTGACATCGATTTTTCCCCGTCAGAAATAAAATGACGAAACATGTTACACCGATTGCCACCGTAATTACCACAGCTACGTATCCATTCTTCTTACTCTGCATCCAGTCCTTCTTAAGAAATCTTACAGATCGCCATACCAACAGAAAAGCTAACAATAAGATATTAGCCCAATTGAAAAATGGACAAAAGGAGCAGATAACATCAAAACTGGTAGGCAAATCGGCAAAAAAGAAAATCCACTGAATTCCACAGACATTACAGAAGAGCAAAGCAGTAATTGCTAGACTGACATGAAGCACAGTGTCTACATCCCGTAGATGTAAATTTCTCCACAATAACACTAACACAGATATATTACCAATTAAACTCAAAACAAATGTGACAGTGTTCATACATATAAATATCGATGGCGCAATGCCTAACATTGTGGACAACTTTTTAAATAAAAATCCGTACAAGCAAAACAATTCCAGTAACCAAAATTCTCGTCCAAATTTACTTCTTCTGTATGTAACACTGTTCTGCCAGCAATTTGATTTGGTTATCTTGTATCATTTGATCTACCTTCCATCTCAGGTAAAATATCATTGGACACAACAGCCGTCTTCAGCCAATCGGAATTAATGCCATCTTCCTACTATCTGCTCTTATTGGCACATCCAAGGACCACGTAATGTGATTGTAATGAAGTCTTTTTATCGAATTAAATAAATGTCTTTCAACCACTGTCAAACTGTTGTTTTTGAACTCGAGGCTGAATTGATGTCTTTCATGCTAGTTTCCCACTATCATGATTTGCTTCGGACCTATTCAGATCTTGAGATCAGTCGTGGTAATCGTAGAATTGTTTGAACTGTTCAAACTTTTTCTGCGATGAAAACGATCAATTGTAAACGGAGTGTTTCCTTAATCGTATGATCGGAATCGATCATAGACGTGAAACTTGTGACTTCTTTCTATTGCTGACGCCTCCTTCTGCAAGTGTTCATTTTTAAAACTAGTTTTGGAACGCTTCTGGGCAATTAATTCTACCTCACCCCTCACTCCGTCAGTGAGTTCGTCACTCCGTCAATGAGTTCGCCACTCACGTCATTGATTCCGTCATAACGTCAATCGTCAATGCTACCGAACAAAAAATGTAATATTAATGAATTATAATCACAAAACGAAATCAAAACGAAATTTTTAGAAAGACGTACGTCGATGCTACCTTATAAAATGATGAATACTAGCGTTTCTTAAAATAAAACGAAAGAATATGCCAGTCCGTCAGTGGCGAACTCATTGGCGTAATGACGTATGAAGTAGTCCAGGGCTGATACACAGCTAATTCATCCATCACTGCGTTATTGGCTCAATCCGTCATTGACGTCATTCCGCCAATCAAGTCTTGTCAAGTCAAGTCAAGTAGACAAGTCTTGTGTTACTAAGAATAAGTAGGAAGTAGACAAGACTTGTGTTACTGAGGATAGGTGGGAAATAGACAAGTCTTGTGTTACTAAGAATAAGTAGGAAGTAGACAAGTCTTGTGTTACTAAGAATAAGTAGGAAGTAGACAAGACTTGTGTTACTAAGAATAAGTAGGAAGTAGACAAGTCTTGTGTTACTAAGAATAAGTAGGAAGTAAACAAGTCTTGTGTTACTAAGAATAAGTAGGAAGTAAACAAGTCTTGTGTTACTAAGAATAAGTAGGAAGTAAACAAGTCTTGTGTTACTAAGAATAAGTGGGAAATAAACAAGTTTTGTGCTACTAAGACAGGAAATAGATAATGTAGGAAATAGACAAGACTTGTGTTACTAAGAATAAGTAGGAAATAGACAAGTCTTGTGTTACTAAGAATAAGTAGGAAGTAGACATGTCTTGTGTTACTAAGAATAAGTAGGAAATAGACAAGACTTGTGTTACTAAGAATAAGTAGGAAATAGACAAGTCTTGTGTTACTAAGAATAAGTAGGAAGTGAACACGTCTTGTGTTACTGAGGATAGGTAGGAAATAAACAAGTCTGTGTTACTAAGAATAAGTAGGAAGTAGACAAGACTTGTGTTACTAAGAATAAGTAGGAAATAAACAAGTCTTGTGTTACTAAGAATAAGTAGGAAGTAGACAAGAGTTGTGTTACTAAGAATAAGTAGGAAGTAGACAAGACTTGTGTTACTAAGAATAAGTAGGAAGTAGACAAGACTTGTGTTACTGAGGATAAGTAGGAAGTAGACAAGACTTGTGTTACTAAGAATAAGTACGAAGTAGACAAGACTTGTGTTACTGAGGATAGGTAGGAAATAGACTAGTCTTGTGTTACTAAGAATAAGTAGGAAGTAGACAAGACTTGTGTTACTAAGAATAAGTAGAAAGTAGACACGTCTTGTGTTACTAAGAATAAGTAGGAAATAAACAAGTCTTGTGTTACTAAGAATAAGTAGGAAGTAGACATGTCTTGGGTTACTAAGAATAGGTAGAAAGTAGACACGTCTTGTGTTTCTAAGAATAAGTAGGAACTAGACACTTCTTGTGTTACTAAGAAGAAGTAGGAAATAAACAAGTCTTGTGTTACTAAGAATAAGTAGGAAGTAGACAAGAGTTGTGTTACTAAGAATAAGTAGGAAGTAGACAAGACTTGTGTTACTAAGAATAAGTAGGAAGTAGACAAGACTTGTGTTACTGAGGATAAGTAGGAAGTAGACAAGACTTGTGTTACTAAGAATAAGTAGGAAGTAGACAAGACTTGTGTTACTGAGGATAGGTGGGAAATAGACTAGTCTTGTGTTACTGAGAATAGGTAGGAAATAGACTAGTCTTGTGTTACTGAGGATAGGTAGGAAATAGACTAGACTTGTGTTACTGAGGATAGGTAGGAAATAGACTAGTCTTGTGTTACTAAGAATAAGTAGGAAGTAGACAAGACTTGTGTTACTAAGAATAAGTAGGAAGTAGACAAGACTTGTGTTACTAAGAATAAGTAGGAAGTAGACAAGACTTGTGTTACTAAGAATAAGTAGGAAGTAGACAAGACTTGTGTTACTAAGAATAAGTAGGAAGTAGACAAGACTTGTGTTACTGAGAATAAGTAGGAAGTAGACAAGACTTGTGTTAGTTAGAATATCAGATAGATAGCTTGAATACTTCATTCTTTTATATTTAGATCTAAATCTATTATTGTATCCTAATTACCCATAAGCATAGAATTACGTTAGAAAAATATTCCAATGCCAATGACGCAGAGAATAGCAATTTTTCAAATAGATTCTAGTCAATGTCATCAATACTTTAAATATGTATCGCTTGGAAACAGTTTACCGGAATGACTTTCCGCCATACTAGTTTGGTCGCCAAGCAACAAGATCTATGAAACGACTAGGTAGATAACACATTAACAAGTAATGACCAAATACCACGTGGGAAGCTTCTCTGATGTGTTTATGTATCATCACCTGTCTTCAAAACTGAAATCATAACTTAACTGATGTGGACATGAGAGGGTGAGTTAAAACGTTTTAATATTCTGTATGAAATAAATATGTTAGTAAATTGCCAGTATTCGAAGGTTAATTGTTATGTGATATCGTGAGAGTTTTGTTATTGATCGAATCCTATTTAGTTGACTGTTGGTTGTTTTGATACATTACGATTAGTTTTCCTTTCGCACAAGTCGATCTATAAAATACTTTTTGCCTCTAATTTGTTTCTACAACGAAAAAGTTTTTTTCACTCACTGGTATCAATGCTTACGCCAATTTAAAATAAATATTGATGAGCTATTTTCCTAAAAATTAATCCTTAATTAATTAACGATAGGCAACCTGTTCCAATTCCATCAATGTTACATACATGTAAAATACCTACAAAGAATGAAAAAAGGAGATATGCAAAGTAGCGAGTATAACGGACTAATTTTGTCTGTTCCAAACAACCTATAACCACGTATGATAAATTTTTGATGAGGTTTGGCTATGGTGAGCAGGTTATGATAATATGCTGAATTAATATTTGATAATCGTGTACTGAAATGTTCATCGTCACGCAAATACACTTTTCTGTAATAGTAACTGAAGTAAATCTAGACGCAGTGTAAAACCTAGAATATAATAATGAACAATTTGAAAAATAGAAATTCTAGCTATTTCTGAGTGGTTTTAAAAAATCTAGGCTTGGCACCAAAAAAGAATAAGTCATGATGAGATCTGATCATGTGTAACTCTGCTTGAAATCGGAATATCAGGTGTGCATTAAAAGATACCACCGTGCAGCCTAGTCCTTCAATAAGCGACCAATTTTAAGGATAATCCTGGTCGCTTGTTTGCATATAAGTGTTTATCTTTATCTCATGGGCTATATCAGATCAAACCTCATAGGAAGAAAGAAGATTTGGGTTATGGTCTATGAATTAAACGATTTAAATCATGGTTACCCACTAGGGATGCTATTGTATGTAAAATATGTCTATAAATATCGTTAAAACTGGCTTTCAGAAAGTTGAAGTTGTGTCAATCGATGAATCTGATTAAATAATAACCAGTTTGATATCAAATAATTATACTTTATTTATTTTTCAGATGTAAAGTAACAGTTTGATCAGAGAGTTAGTTACCATGGATATAAAAATACCTGATTTAACATCATTACTCAGAGACAATATCTATAGATTATATCAGGAACAACGTCACACTGATATCGAAATACACATCAATTCTGTGGTATTTAATTGCCATAAGACGGTCCTTGCAGCCATGTCGCCATATTTTGACGCTATGTTTGCCTCTGGCATGCGAGAAAGTAAAGACAACACAGTAAAACTACAAGGGCATGTACCAAAACATTTTGAAAATATACTGCTGTTCATGTATTCAGGAAAATGTGATATTAATATTGATAATGCTGAAGATATATTAAAAGCGTCGTCTTTATTTCAGATGTCTTGCCTGGCATTACTCTGTGAACAATTTCTGATCAATCACCTCGGGTCCGAGAACTGTATTGGTATGTGGAAATTGGCCCGAGCTCATGGCTGTAAAAGTCTCGAAACTAAATGTTTTATGTATTTATTAGAGCATTTTGGTGATATTTGTAAATCGGAAGATTTTGAGTGTCTTGATATCGATGAGGTATACTCTTTAATTACCCATGATGAACTCAAAGTCCTGAAAGAGGAGATCGTTTGTGATGCTGTATTTACATGGCTTTCAGCTGATGTTGACGCTAGAAAAGAACATGCCGTGACATTGATGGAGGTTTTACGGTTACCTCTTGTAAGTCCCGAATACCTAGTGAATGAAGTCGAACAAAGGTCAATCGTTAATGATAACAAAAGGTGTCAAGAAATTCTCAAGGAGGCTATCAGTTATCACATGCTTCCAGCTCGACGACAAGAATTCACGTCCCCGCGACTAATCTACAGAAAACATTCCCTATATGAAGAGATACTCGTTGTTCTTGGTGGTTACAGTTTAAATGGTGAGAAGGTTACTGATGTTCTTGGATACAGCATTCGCAATAAAATCTGGTACAAACTTGGGCCACTGTCATTTAAATTGGGTCGAGAATTTGCATGCTGTGTTTATGGAAATGATGTGTACGTTTCTGGTGGAAGTCAACGACTTTCAAGTTTGCTAAGATTTCGCGCCGAATATAACGAATGGCAGAAGTGTCCACCAATGATGCAAGGTCGCAGACGACACACCATGGTAGCTGTTGGCGAGTCTCTGTTTATTTTGGGAGGTTATGATGATAAGATCAGTGAGGAAAGTAACAGGACATTGAGTGAGATACGGGAATATCAGATGGCCACATCGTCTTGGCGAACTGTGGCCGATCTCTTAAAGCCAGTTCGCTCTATGTCGTCTGTGGTCTCAAAAGAAAAGATTTTTATTTTTGGTGGATTGTTATCAGACGATACCGAAACTGCTTGTATACAATGCTTTGATACTCGATCTCATACATGTACGATAGTTGGAGAACTCCCGTTTTCCTCCAAATTGAGTCGTGCTATTGCCTTTAACAGAAGATTATTTGTAATCTGTACCGAGGGATCTATACTGGAGCTGAATGAAGAACATGAGTGTACGGTTGTAAAAAAGATTCCTTTCTTTAATCGACGTCGATTTGGTCTAGTGGCCTACCAGAGTGGTATTCTTATAGTTGGTGGTGAATGCGGGGAGGAAATCCAAAAAGAATGTTTAAATTTTAATCCTGAGACAGGTGTCGTTGGAGTTGTCAATGATTTGATTATTCCAAGTAGAGCCAATTTTGGATGCGCAAAAATTGTAATTAAGAAACAGCATTTAAAACATGAATATTTTGAAGATTGAAAACTGCACTCTGTTTTACATGGCACAAGACTTCAAAAGTCTTAATTGTGTTGCACTATAATGCAATTGGCACATGTATTCGACTTTGAGACTTGAAACAGTTTTGCAAATAAGAAAAACAAAAATTACAAAAGATTTGTGTCTATAGCATCTAATTCCACTTTTCTTATATCCAGTAAGACGTCTGTCGATCCTTAAATTCCAGACCTTTTATAATTATGACACTATTATATCAAATACCATATTATGGGTATGACATTTATGGCAAGTATATAAAGCGTTCAAGCTTCCTCATGAGTTGCCATAGAACAATGCAGTTTTTACTGTGCTCAGTTTGCTAACATTCCGCATAATTTACACATAACTTCCTCAGTGCTTTCTGAATAACAAGCGTATAGTCGTAGTTTTAATAATTTTCAATAAAGGTTTTAACAAAATGAAATACCTCTTGTTTTGTATCCCGGTGTTTTAGTTCCAATTTCGATTCATCGAGAAATATTCAGCAAAATAAAAAACTGAATATAAGGAATTGAACAGGGGCGCCCATATAAAATCGTGACTATGGTGGTGTTGAAAAAGATTTCCCCACGACGAGGGGTCCCATATACTGATATATAAAAAATCGTGGATCAAAACATTATTTTTTCTGAGAAAAAAATTGAAATATTTTAACAATATTTAAAAAACAATACAAGATATCATAGCCAGTAGACGGCTGAACGAAAGTTCGGAATCATTAGTTGTGGCATGAGGACTGTTCTTACCTTGACCCCACTTCACCTAACAGGCGAAGGCCCTTGCATTATTTCCGAGATACATTATCAATGTCAAGATAGGGCCGAAATCTAAATCAATAGAAGGGCACTGAAAAACGAAACTTTTAATGACTCGGAAACGAAACATTGGGTGTGCACTGTAATTTCACGCTCCGCTGGATGTTTTCGATTGCCAATATCCAATTTTTATGTCAAATCTCGATGATCAGTAATAATCAATATATCATATTGTTCTGTGATTAAAAATTCCACAGTGAATTGTTTGTTATTGTTAGTAAAATCAATACAGAACCTCTCCTATTCGTCTGTCTTCCCGACATGAACAATAGGGAAACACTATGGAGTGCGGTACTAAATGTATATATATTTTTAAATCTTATATTAATCTATGGCTGTTACTAGGCATAGATAGATCGGGTTTACTTTGAACAAAAACACAGACTAATCAATTAAAAAGACTTTTATATGTGTCTCTTTAGACAACACAATATATATCTTTATAAACCCTATCAGGTAAAACTTCCAATTACACTCACTGTGTCCAAACCACGCCCCCCTTCGTCATACCATGTCACAACCTGTATTCGGGATATGAATTACACTTTGCTATTCAAGAACTGAGGGGATAAGATCTTTGTTTAAAAAAATGTTATTTTAACCAAAAGTCTATTTACAGCAAAAACAATTGACATACAAAAATAACAAATATGACAAAAATATCAAATGTAAAATATATTATCGCTTAGACCAGAGCAACAAAAATAAACGAATATGATTAAATTGTGACTATTTGAAAAAATAAAGCAAAACAAAAGTGTGATAAATATTAACAACAATTCACTAGCAGCTATATGGTCCTTCAAGGCAGGGCAAAGCTCAATGAGAAATGCTGAGTGGTAGTAAGTATTTTAACACAATGTTCAAGATAAAAATGGCAAAATAGAGCTTATATAAATTTTTTCTTATAAGTCTTCAAGAAGACAGGAGATGTGGAGACAATGTGTTAATCAGAAACCTATATATCACGAACAAATCATTTGATTGTTTAAGGTTTTCAAAATATTGGAACATTGTTAAAGATTCAAGATGATAATTTTTTTATTAAAAAAATATAGAACTCATATCAAATACAGTTTTTATTTTATTTATGATAAATAAGTGTACAAGTCAGTAAAAGTAATTCAGATTTAGTTTTTTTTAATTGCGATTTTAAAGCAAAAGGCACCAAAGATACTAACAATCTGTTTTTAAGTGAGATATGGTAAAATATATTTCTCATACACTGGTTTTGTATTATACCAATGAACATGTTCTACACCAGGTACTGTGTGTGTATGTATCGCTTTTCTTGAATCTAGGGACTTTAATCCAAAACAATCATCCGTATACCACTGAAATATTGTAAAGTATACTATCAATATATTTGTAAATGCTTGTGCATACCGCTGGGTAAAATGATAGAAATAATTGATTATTGTCGCCATATTAATAATTTCGATTATCAAATTTCATAATCTATTATACGTCAAAGTTACATTTTCTCCCTTGTTACAATACACAAGTAGTAATCTCCTCCACATAGATTCCCTTCAGCATTTAACTTACCCACAATAAGCTATAATAACGGATCAAATCAAGAATATACTTCTATGACACAAAAATTACTTGTGAAATTGAGTATTTTGGCATGTTTTTAATCTAGTATTTACAGGGTTTCTCAATTGAATTATTTCGATTATTAATCGATTATTGATCTGTAGTCTGCCATCGATAATTGGTCTCAATTTGGTAAATGATACCCAGCCCTATGGAGGGGGATCGTTGCCAGAAGTATTTACAAAGTCAAACTTGAAAACAAGGCCTCGACTTTACAAAGACACATTTCAACATTACACAATTACAAAATAAACCTTCCTAAATCAAAAAGTCACTGTACTAATTACAAAGTAGAGACATTGATAGTTTACTTTTCAAACTTTATTTCACATCAGACACCATTCAAACTTTCCTTTACGAAAATTAATTCTTAACTTTGCATTATTGACAATATCAACTATGTCTTCTTGACTTTGCATTCGTGAAAGATGTAAGTTCAACCACTGTATTCTTGAGAGTTGTAGACTTCTGCATTCTTGAACGTTTACCATAAAATGGTGTCTGATGTGAAATAAAGTTTGAAAAGTAAACTATCAATATCTCTACTTTGTAATTAGTTCATTGACTTTTTGATTTTAGGAAGGTTTATTTTGTAATTGTGTAATGTTGAAATATGTCTTTGTAAAGTCGAGGCCTTGTTTTCAAGTTTGACTTTGTGAATACCTCTGGCACCGATCCCCCTCCATACAGCCTTACTCGCGCACCAGGGTGCAAGAGTATTACTAAATATTCCATGACAAAATCCACGAAATATCAAAAAACTTTCATTACTTACAGGTTCCTTTCTCATTTCCACTACAGTTCCATTCTTATTATAAAAACCAAACTGACTAGACTGCCATGGAGTTATCACACCATCATTAGGACCTCCTATTAGAACGAGTTTCTTTAGTTTCATAAAATTCTTCTTGAACTCTGTAATATTTAAATGATTTAGACTTTAAAACAAATCAGAACACTACATTTTGTACAGGGTTATAACTAGGGACAGACTGAGTAGCTCCGAGCCATGGTTTTCTGGGGCCCCCACCCAACAATAATATTATTTGTTGTAAGTTACATACAAAAGGTAAGAAACCTGTCAACATTGGTAGATTGCACATGTATGTGGTGCAATTTTAAATTCAGAAATACAAAAGTTGATAAGAAGACTTTATTTAGAAATGGGGCATGGTTCTCAAGCCAAAATAAGATCTTGAAACCTACCTTGACTTCTAGGATTAAAGGTCTGGTTATTTAATATAGCTAGATAATTAGAGTATTTCTTATATTCAGTTTGATGATGAGGATCTGGAATAGAGAACAAGACATAGAAGAACCTTAATCATATTAATCATTGTAAGATATTTAGAAGTATCACTGCACATTAAGAGACAACAATTGTTATGGATAAAGACTTCTATTTATTCCTTTTGAACACAACGTTTCATTACACATACAGGTAATGTTCCTAAGTGATAATCAACCATTATAAATATACTCCTTATATATGCCTTAAAACAAACTTAACGACACAACACATGTATACAATAAACTTCTAATAATAAGAATGAATTATCTTATTGTTAAAGAAATAAATAGAGTCTATATCCATAATAATTGTTGTCTTAATCATAATATTTCCCTAAAGTTCAAATTCTTCAGTCCTATAAAAATATCTAATGCAATTGTAGGTACCGTATATTTCTGAATATAATGCGCACCCGTGTATAATGCGCACCCCTTCCTTTTCCCATTAAAATCGGGAAAAATCCATGTTTTTTTTCATCATACATGTATCCATTGCAACCTCACTTGGAGAACAGAATCTTTAACAAATTTCTTACCATTCCAATAATTAGCTATAGAAAACTTTTGGCCTTCGTTGGTGTAGAAAAATCTAAAGAAAGAAGAAAATTTGAAAAAATGTTTGACTAAAAGAGGGGTGAGTTTATAGAGCTCAATTGGTCTGGAAATATCAAAATAAATACTACAAACTGGGATCTATAGTTCATGCTATTCATGATCAATATAGTGAATTATGTGTATTTGATTTGAATGATTCTTTCATTTGCTCTCTCATTATCTCAAGACTTCTGATTCATTTAATTTCTTTCTAAGTCTTGTCTTTATCATGTTTAACTTCAATATCATATAACTTACTTGTAAGCTTCAGATTTTAAAAACTTAGGAAATAAATACTTTAAATATACCGAATCTGAAAAACAAGAGTTATTTTGGTTATAAAAGAAGGGGGATGATCATGGTAATAGTCAAAAGCTAATCACGTATATGTAATGTTCATCCGGACAGTCAGTTTGGAACGGCATTTATATCCATGTTCTAACAAACTGAATTTTTGAGAAATTCTCTAACTTTACTCCAACCAAATTTTTGAATTTGTGTGTCACATAATCATATTGATAGTGTTAAAAT